GCAAAATTGAGATGAGGAGGGCATTTCCTTACACAGCTTTCAAAAGTATCATTTTGCGTTTATTAAATTTACAGGTATAAGTGCATCTCATGATTGGACTTAGAATTTTTTTTTTTTTTTTTTTTTTGGGGGGGGGGGATCACCTACACATTACATTTGTAATAGATATACATTTTATGTCGATGATCCCAGCACTGTTGATGGTTTATAGCAACAAAAAAGTTAAAAGTATATATAAAGAAAACTATATCACTTGATGACACTGATGTGCAAATTTGATCTGAAAACTTCTCAAGAACAGTCAATATATGAAGGTATAGACTTTTTGCAGATTAAAACAAATAATTACTTGGACTTTGGGGAAAAGGATCTAAAAAAAATATATTGAAGACTGGGCGGGGGAAATATATCATCTGTAATGGTTAACGCCCTTGTACATGTAGCTCCAAATAAACAAATTTGAAATAAATGTTTACGTAACAGCCCACATTAACATACATGCAATAATATAACTCAGTCTGAAACTAGCTCACACTGATGACCTTACTGGCTTGTGAAATTAATAGTACAAAGAAATAATTGAAAACAAACACTCCAACATGCACGCATGCATGATAAACAGAAGGAACACACACAGTATAAATAAAACACACACACACACACAGCAAGCAATTAGTGAGAGCTGGCCTATGAATAAAATCTCATAATGTATAACAACTGATACATACAAAATTCATAATAAAGAATTATCATTTCATGCATTTTAAATTTGTAACCATAACTACCATGATCCTTGATCCATAATTAATTCATAACTGATGAATTGAGGAGGGATGAATTTAGAATTGCTACATCACCCAACCATCAATCACGCACAATAATGCTATTTCAAAAAGTACTTTCATGAATTATTCCAATGTCTAGAAATAAATTATCAGCATTTATTCCCTGGCAAGAATCAAATAAAAAGGGGAGGGAAAAAAATTATTCTGGACCAATGGACTCCTGAATTCTCTCATCCTCATAATGTTCATTGCAGGATTTCCCCTTGTTCCAAAAGCCAATGGCTTAAAGCCCCTCTGCACTAGTTTGGCCAGGAGGATTTGACCTCCCTCCACTGACAGGTGGTTATCTTATCAAACCAGCTCTCAATTAACATAAGAATAAGATGATCATGGGGGACCAATTGTCACCGCTTAGACATTGTTTGCTTCATAGGGGCACAAATAGCTATAATTAGTGCAGTGGGGCTTTAAAAGGGAAGTCCACCCTAACAATTAGCTGGTATCAATAAACGCAGAAATAAACGAGAAGTAAATTAGTTAAAGTTTAGGCATTATCCGGTTCAAAGTAGTAAAGCTATGAATTTATTGGCAACACTGTATGTGTATCTTGCGAGGAGGCCAACCTAATTTGCTTTGTACAGAACTTTCATAAATTGTTCATCTTCTTAGTTCAATACTGGAGACAAAAAATATTTGTTCCATACAGGGGTTGTATAGAAACATATTTGCAATAATTATTTTTACGGTGCATGTACATGTATGATTGCACATTTTCTATTGGGAAAATAGACATTTTTGATTTTGTTTAATAGTACAGAGCAATAAGGAGGGAAGAACATCGCTAGATCGTCACAGAGTTGCCAATTTGTGTTTGATTGATCGCAATTTAAAATTAATCATAACTTTCTTATTTTCATTGGATTTTGCTCAAACTTTCACTAATCTGTTTCTCTCTATTTTTCTGCTTCTATTAAAACTAACTTAATAGCAGGGTGATCTTCCCTTTTAATGACTTTCAAGCTGCTTAATCAATCTATACAAAAAAAGGAATGTGTAAGAGTTGTATACAGAGTGTTCACATCATATGTGAAAATTGTGAATGAATACTTTAGTTGAATGACCCATAGAAGTTAGGGATTTTCTAAAGATCAAAATGAATCAATGTTTCCTCCTCAATTTGGCAACTATTTTTCTTACTTTCCACTTCTTTAACATAGTTTTCAGTATGTTTATAAAATGAACCAATGTGAATGAAGATGACTAAATTCAACAAAAGAATTGCCAATATGAATGCAAACATAGCATTTGTAAATATAAGTTTGTTTATGTTGACCTTTGACATTTGACCTCTTGATGTTTCTAAGAGCATCTCTACGGAGGAGTATGTACTGGTATAAAGTTTTTAAGAAAGGAAACATTAGGGTTCTATTAGTATTGCAATACCAAGAATAATATAAAATGTTCATTAATTTAACCAATAGCATTTCAACTCAATACCATTGGTTTTATAATTATCTCTGGAAAAAAAAAACCAGGTCTACTATTTATCCAAACTAATGCCGAAATGGTAAGATGCAAATATGATGAAATAAAATATAATATGATGAAATAAATAAAACGAAACAAATCAAAACATTACGCTATAACAATCTGTGCACAGTGGGGTGTTTCATAAAGAGTTTGTAAAGTTATGCATGACTTTACGAACAACTTGTATATGAGTGCCAGATAGGATGCCCAAAGTTTTTTCAGATATTTCCAATAACCTCAATTAAATTATGGCAAAAAATATACTTTGCATTAAAATGGTTGTTATAATAAAAATGTTAATCTACATCTGCACAGTTAAACTTAATAAATAATAATCAATAATGATTGAGCAACCCATTTGGCTTTTCATATACAAGTCGTTCGTAAAGTCATGCGTAACTTGACGAACAGCTAGCATTTACATGTACACTCTATTTACATGCACTGGGCAAGAGCACACACACACAGCTATAATTGTAGAAATCAAACCAAAACAAAATAAAGTAGTTGAAAAGTACACATAAGAGGCCAGTCTCACGATTCTTATACATTCAACAACTGAATTATTCATAACCTTTAAATAGTAAATTCTATGTTTTTCGTAACTCAAGGTTGAATTAGGGCCTTTGTTGAATACTTTTGAACGTAAGCTTGAATATGTCACATTTTCGAGAAATATAAATAGTGGCAAATCAATTTTTCGCTTTCTTCAAAATTTACATAACTTGGTAAGCCAAGGGTATGAATAATTAAGTTATTTACTGTATCAAATCATCAAATCACTGATAAATGCTTCATGATTTTCAGATATTTTGAACAATTATATATGAATTTAAATTCCTTATTAAATATGTCTATTTCGTGGCTTCAAGCCTACCTATTTTCAGTACTAATAAACTTAATCAAGGTTGTCATTTGTTCAACTACATTGCAACTGTTCATAATGTCACATCATACAAATAATTAGTTTAAGTTATCACTGTTTGTAGCAACCAAAAAATTACTTTTTTTTTTACGAGGGCTCTTTTCAGATTTTCCCTTAAAAAAATAGCCCCCCTTAATTATTTTGCGGTGGCTATTTTGGAGCTTAGGGGGGCTTTTTTTTTTTAAAGGTTGTATTTTTTTTAAACGCGGTTTTACCTAATTAAATTCCAAGCAAAGGCAAATATAGATCTAGATACAATTGTAGCGTACATATGTCATGTAGAGTATTGCAGACATTCAGATACCCATGATTTATTCACTTTGTGTTAAACGTGTGGCTTTATGATTTACATATACATGTAACTAAAACTTGTCAAAAGGAGTGTTTTGTTTAACTGTTCGTTTTTCATATCCTAAGAAAATATTATCACTGACACGCGGGCTAGGAATTAATTTTTTTATGGGGGCTACTTTTCCCCATTGCCTAAAAAAAAACCAAGGGGCTACTTCCTTAAAGCCATATTGTAAGCTGTAACAATAAGTTGTGTTTTTCCTTAGCCATCATACTACTAGCAACCAAATTGGTAGGTAATATGTTATTTAGTCTTTTTTTCTGTCCCAAATTTAATTGTTATCATGGACAATGCAATCCCAATAAAAAAAATGTAGACCAACTCCCTTTAAAATTGTGTTATTTAGACCATTTTATAACCATTAAACGTGAGTAAATATTTTTACTGTTGTCCCACATACCGATGTAGGGTCTATTTGTTGTGCCGAAACATGCAAAATCATGGCCTTATTTTTTTTTATAGACTCTAATTCTAAAGGCCAAGCCAAAGCTAGTTTCATTTCGTAGACAGAAATTGATGTCATCATCACTCATGACAATTGGCCTGGCATCGATCGTATATAAATAATTTAATTTAATTAAACAGTTGTAAGAAAGATTCTGAGGAGTAGGAACATCCTTTATATATTTATTTACGGTTTTTTTATAACAAAATTCAATTTCTGTGTACGAAACTTGCTTTATACCGATTTTACAGGAAAAAATCCGGCATTGATTTTGCACGTTTCGTTATTACAAATATATCAGTATGTGGGACAACAGTAAAAATATACTCGCATTTAATGGTTTTAACTTATAAATAACACAATTTTAGACGGAATAACATTTTTTTTAATGGGATTGCATTGTCCATGATAAAAATTAGGGCCAGAAAAAGAATAAATAAACATATTACGTACCAATTTGGTCGCTAGCAGTTGAGCTCTCGTCACTCGCAAATACTTATTTGCTTCATACAAGGAGCGTGCGGGCGCGCGCGCGCTGGAGCTGAGCTAGTACGTTTCTGTGTATTGTGAACGTGTGCGAACTGCGTATGCATTCATGCTGTGCACGAAACTACATCGGGGCCGGTGGCCTGTCCGGCCGCCGGGAGCTTAGGCGCAGGCAGGCGGATACCGCTGTAGATCTAGCTACAGTAGGTACGACCGCCGATCCGCTGCAACTCACAAAATTTTTAAAATGTTGATGGAAGTTACTAGTTTTGGAGTTGGTATTTGGAACGGAGATTTCACTCAGACACATCAATAAATTGGTTTATTAATTCATAGGGAATATCAATTTATGGCGGGGGCGATTTTTCAAGATATATTGATTTTTTTTCGCCCTCGTCTTGATTTTTACCGTGGCGATTTCAGAGGTTTAGGGGGCGAATCGCCCGTCGCCACCATGTATTTTTTTCGTTGGTTTGTAGGGAACTTTTTTTGCACAGTAGACGTGGTTGGAAAGAATGATGCATGGTCACATGGTGTCATCTGACCAATTAGATTGCTTACAGTCTAGAATCTGCTTGATAATTACATTTAACACATGAAAAAACCATCTGTCTGAATTTACAATGATATAATAATAATTAATAACCAGAGCATGATCATGAAGGGCTATACTAGCATCTACAGCACACTGATGGTAGGCTTCAATATGAATGAATTTACATTCATTATGAATGAAACAAGTAAAGAGTCTTCATAATTACTTGGATAAAACTGTAGGTATGTCAAACAAATAAAATGAAGAAAGAAATAATATGTGCTATTTCATAATTTGTGTTCGTGCTTTACAGTGTACATATTTTCTACAAAGTTACCGGTATGTGATTTTGTGTGCATTCTTTGCTGATTCAAACAACCTCTTAGTTGAGGATGATCATTTACTATACGAACAACTATTTAGAGTGACGTTTACCATGTTTTGTAGGCGATACCTACTTAAACTTACTCGAGAGTTATAACTTGAAGTAAATCTCATTCATATTTGCATTATAAAATGCAGGAGAACCAATATCAATTATTTGGGAATGCCTTCAGAAGCTGTTGTCCCTTCTCCATCAGCTTCTCTACAAATTGCAAGTAAGGTCAAACCAGCTTTAGTGACCACCTGTCTGCAAAGACCACATTTTTTGTTTCCCTTGAAAATGGTTTCTTATTGAAACATGCACTGAAGGAACCTGTCTACAAAGACCACCTTCTACAGAGACCACTTTTTGTGTTCCCCTTGGGCGGTCACTATAGACAGGTTTGACTGTACTCAAGTTTACCTAGCTATTTTTTTGTTAGCATAGTATGAAGAAACATTGACATTAGGAATTTTCGTCCCTGGTCAGTTGCCAATCTCCATCTATAAAACAGTTCCTCTCGTACTTGCAAGTAGTCAAGATTACCTAAGAATTTAACCTCATTTTGGGTTTCATAACATGCAAAAATAAATATCATTCCAGTCAGTTCACCTGTAAAACAGTTTTCTTGAATTTAGAAATACTTAAGATTAAAAGTAGTTAGTCACTCCAATTTCTGTATGGAGAAAATGCAGGAATGGCAGTTATTTGGGAATGTCCGAGGAATTGTCCCCCATTAGGTTCATGATCAACATTTATAAAACAGTTCCTCTCAAACTAAATCTTGACTTACTTAGGAATTCAGGCCGATTTTCTGTTTGCATAAAATGCAAGAAAATTACTGACAATTCCTGGGAAATGTCTGAAGAAGTCCCAGAGCCAGTTGATGATCTACATAAAACAGTTCCTCTTAACTAAAATTTGAATTACCCGAGAATTCGGGTCCATTATCTGTTGACATACAATGCAGGAAAATTACCAATGATTATTTGGGGAACATCCAGGAGTTGTCCTCTTGGTCAGTTGATGATTTCCATTTGAGGCTTGGGGGCTTCTCCCAACTGGTTCTGTTCCTTGACCTTCATCCTGACCTCCGGCGGGCAGTTCTGGACATAGATGACCCTGTTGTATGCCTTCAGCCGCCTCCAGAGCTGGACGTAGACCTTACACTGGACGTACATGAACACCAAGCCACCTGTGAAGTAGTACGAGAAAGACATTAGACGTTCAAGTGTTGTCAATCTCTCGACCAACCCTAAAATACTCTTTTGGGCCCTTTTCACGTTCATTTTAAATGCTGGCCTAAGAAGACAAATCTAGAGGCTACAAATGCAACTACCGATACTGTAAACGTGGTAATATTGGCGGTACATTAATTTTCGCCAAGTTTGTGCTTCAGTCGGTGTCCGCAAATTTTAGAACTCGCGAAAATGTAAGCATGACTTCTTGTGCATGTTTTGAATGGGATGAATTGCATGCAACGCAAAGTTAAGAACCAGCGAATATGTTTAGGGGTCGCTCAGCGCGACAAATCTATCACCCGATTATCAATGCATTTACTTTAGATGTCTGCATGACACATGCCCCACGAGAAAAATTCTCTACAGTTTTTATCCTGCAATAGCTGAATTCTACTTAGCCATGAACCGAAAACTATACCTAACCCTAAAGCTAAGCTAAAACCCAAATGTAAACCTAACTCTAACCCTAAATGTTTGACGAAATTAAACCAGGAGCAGCTGTCCCCATAGCAAATTTCGGATCACCTTTTGAATGCCTTCAGAGGCTTTTCGGGACATTCTACATACCTCCGCATGTATATGATTTGAAAGGGTCTAAAAATCACTGATTTTAAGAGAAAGGGTGCCTCATTCAGCGTGGGTGTCTTCTGATTCATACAAAGGGTAATGTATGCATCAATTGTTAGGCATGCTATATTCATTGTATTCAAATTGTGATTCCCCATACACTGGAGAGTGTATGGACAAAGACTAAGCACAAACAAATCCCTTGCTGCAACACAGATTCCATCTTAAAATGACACTTACTGCATCTGTAGCTATCACTATATTGCATTGTAATGGTTTAATGAGATTAAAATAAATGAAAATGCTGCTAAAAGCTGTAATTGTTCAACTTACAGAGTGAAAAGAACATGGCATATAAATACATTAAAAAAAATATGTTTCACAATCATTAAAAGAGAAGAAGTATTGTATTTATGAGCAAATTACAAATGTTGGTAATTCTTTAAAAAAAAAAACAACATGATAATCCCATTTTCAATCACTAAATCATCATTATGTACCTGTAAACCCGACAGCAACCACTACCAGCTTCGTCCAGAATGGCCATTGCATTTTCTCGTCTTGAATCTCATTGGACGTTTTGTCTATCAGCACGTATAGGGCCCATATCACACACGTCACTGCTATCAGGTGGAACGACACCGAACAGATGATCTTACGCCTTTCTGCCGCTGACATGTCCAGCTTCTCCCACTATAGAATTGAAAGAAAAAAAGATTTTGTGACTTAAAGCCCATCTGTACTAGTTTGGTCAGGACGGATTAGACCACACAACGTGATCACTGACAGGTGGCTATTTCATCAACTCAGCTCTCAATTAACATAAGAAAAAGAGGATCATGGGGGACTAATGGTCACCGATTAGGCATTGTTTTCTATATAGAGGAAGCAAGTAGCTACAAGTAGTACAGTGGGGCATTAAAATGATTAATTAATTAATGGAAGTGACGAGCTTGAAGTGGTTCATTGATTCATTCACTTGACTTTCTATGAAAAAGTTAGGGGTTCAAATCCCTTCCTGGCACTAATGTCATTTGGCAAGACATTATTCCACATTTGCCACTCTCCACCCAGGTGGGAATGAATACCTGGTATAGTAATCTTGTCATTACAAAACAAAAATTAGAAAGTATAATGTTGTATCTTACATTCAGGAAGAGAGGGAGGGATGGAGAGAGAGAGAGAGAGAGAGAGGGAGAGAGGGAGAGAGAGAGAGATAGAGTAAGAGGGAGACAGCCACAATGAGAGAATGATTAAGATAGATGTAAATATTAAGATAGATGTAAATATCTTGAATCTTGAAAATCTTGAATCTAGAGAGAGAGAGAGAGAGAGAGAGAGAGAGTCTGTGAACAAAAAGATAAAAAACTGATATTTAAAAAAAAAGAGAAGGTTGAGTTCTGGGAAAAGGGAAAAATAATTCATGAGCGTTATCATTGTTATTATGCAAGTGTGGTAGAACATCAGAGACCAAATGCTCCCTGAAAAGCTTGGCTTTTCAAACACTTTCATATTCTAAATATGACAAGTAACAGCTTAAAAATGAAGCCCGGTTTGTATGCCACAAGTTTGTGTAGTCTCATATATACATCTTTCTGTGTACAGTGCTTGTTTCTTTACCAAGACTGGGCCAAATTTGTTATCATTTTAATGGCTCCAGAACCTTGCAGTACACACCAATAATTATACGCTAATGTACATTATCAACTTTTTTTGATCAATTCCACACCGGGTCTTTCCCAATGCAATCGCATGACCAGAAATCAACTTTGTCTTTAAACATGATGAATTATACCTGTATATATATATACTCATTACAATTCACAAGGGGAAAAAATCTCAAGGCAGCAAGCACTCGTCTAATTGCCATTGAGAAACGTACTCAGCCCTGATGATAAATTTTCTTTCCAATTACTTGTTGCCGTCACTATGACATAATGCAATTACTGCCATCTCGCTTATTTACCCAAAAGATTTTCTGAAAGCAGACGGTCGCTATGGCAACCGTTTGTAAAGCCATAAATTACCAAACCTGTTGCTTGCAACTACGCTGCTTCTAGAGTCACAAATATGCTTACCGTAATAAATATAGAAAGGGATGAAAATTGTAAGCACTATCGTAAGCACTATTGAAACGGCAATGAATGCCCAACTACATCGAAAACACAATTCGATTGGGAAAATTACAATTACGAAAGAAAGGGGTGAGCACACATTAGAGAGAAGGAGGTGAAAAGAGAAAGAGAGGAAGAGAGAGAGAGAGAGAAAGAGAGAGAGATAAAGAGGGGGAGATGGAGAGACAGAGAGAGGGAAGGAGATTAAGAGAGACAGAGAGGGGGAAGAATTCACATTCTGTCATCAAATGAAATCAATACTGTAAACTTGGTAATATTTGCGGTGCTTTAATTTTGACGGATTTCGCGCTTAAGTCAGGGTCTGCGAATTTTAGAACTCACGAAAATTAGAACTCGTGAAAATAAAAGCATGACTTCTTATGCAAGTTTTGAACCAGCTGAACCCGCGAATATGTTTTGTGGTCGCTCAGCGCAAAAAAATTAATCATGCAGAATTAACAGCCTCATTTTCTGCACCCTTCCAAATTACGGGTCAACAGGGGTCAAATTTGCCGAAATTACAGTGATGACATTACATGTACATGTGGACATTACATTACATGTTCTCAATCCATCCCCCCCCCCCCCCCCCCCCCCCCCCCATGGCTGGAAAAACAAAAGGGAACTCATTTTCTATATTTTCACAGATATCAAGGATAGTCTGGAGCCCTGCAATATTTCTCCCATTCTGGGGGCTTTTCACATGCAGAGCTTAATTTTCCTATTTCTTCAGGATTACTTTGTTGACGAGAAGTCTCTTATAAAGCCTCCTCTCCTTATTAGTCCGCAGGCAGAGATTCTGCTTTGACACTTTAACACAATTACTAAAGCCTTGAGCAGAGCCTACATCTGTCAGTTTCTGGCTGCATCAAATAAAACTGGTATGGAGGAGCATTGAGTATGTTTTCAGCCTAGTCTCACTGTGCAGACACTGTTATACACAGCGACTGATAAGGGTCTGTGCTTGCAGACTATCTCCCGTGTTTGTTGCTCACATGTGACTAGACAGGTGAGAGATTGAACATGGATTTACAAACTGAAATGTCACCTACCGGCAAACCAAGTGGAAGTAATATCAATGCATGCGAATCATTACACCTGTCACACGCAAAAAAATGGAATTAAACACAAAAGACTTTGTCCATTTCGTAACGCCTACTGTTGAATTAGCATTGATTTGCCTTTCAATAAAATAAAGAAAAGGTTTCAAGTGCGTTCCTTTACTCAAAACTGTAGTTATTTCAAATTCTCATTACCTGAAAGACTAGGATATACATGTACATGTTTGTAATTTGTTTAATTTGTAAACAATTTTTTTTAGAATCTCTGTCAACATACACGGAGGCAGCTTTATATCTGGTGTTTTACATTCAATGCATTCCTGCCAAATCTTTAGAAACATTTGGTTTCACTGTGGGTTCTCATAACTTTCAGTAACAACAACAACAATATACTCTGAGAGAGGAAAATTCTTTTCCTTAAAAATACAACAAGGGGCTTCTTCGTAATTTCTAGAGTACATGTACCTTTTCTATATTTTGAGTATTCACAATCAGGGCCCGTTGCACAAAACTTACCATTTTTATGGTAACTTTGCCATCAATGGTACCTGTAACTACCATGGAAATCTTGATTTTTATTGGCTGTTGAGCCCTGTTGCTATGGTAGTTGCCACTAATGGCAAAGTCACCATCAATGGTAAGTTTTATGCAACTGGCCCCAGGTATTCACAAAAGGGTATAATCTAGATGAAACGGGTCATTTCTACTCTGAATTCATAGGCCCTACATGTACATACCTCATCAAATTACACTTGGGATACTGCCGAAACCCACACCCAAACAATAACACTACGCAAAAACAAAACAATATGATTCAATCACAAAAAAGCTTGAAAGAACATTGATTTAGGTGAAAATAAAGGAGATTCTGTTTTGACACATCCCTCAAAATAGGAAGGGGATGTCGTCGTACCCACCTTGCCAAGAGGTTTTAACTTGCTCTGCATGATAAACTCAAATCGACAGAGTTCACAGTTCTTGGTGTTGGAGCTCTTGATCCACTGCTGGATACAAGCTTGGTGTACAAAATGAAGGCTTCCTAGGCATAGGCACGGGTAAATCAGAGGCATTTCCTCGTCTCCTTCACAATGGCATATCCTGCAGATATCGCCCTGACTCGATACAATCGATGATACGATGGATGCCCGGTGCGACCACAGTTGCGGGCCGCCTCGCGATGACGACGACGCCACCGACGCAAAGTTTGTTTTGCTAAAGGATCCTGTGGAGTTCCGGGCTTTGCTTCCCCGCGATATACTGCTGGCTGTCGAGGGTCTGCTGGATGACTGGGTCACAGAGCCGGGGAGATAACTGCTGGACTGGCATACGACAAAGGGCATTGCGGTAGCTGGGCTGCTCAGGGTTCGTAACTCGACATGAGAGCTGGTTGTAGTGCGCCGTCTCTCCGATTGTGATCGACATTTTGCTGAGGGTCCTTTGCGGGAAGGTGCTGTAGTTGGCTGTCGGAAGAAAGAAAAAATGACACATACAAGTTAATAAATGTTACGAGAAAATGAAAATTGAACTCCCGTAACCGTGACTAGTCTATGTCTAGTCTATGTACATGTGTAGGGAAACATGGCATCTCTGTTATGTCACTGCCATGTCATTTTTTTTTAAACAACACCTACTGTATGAATGACCACATTATGTTCCTTCCCGCACCTTTTACATACATGTAATAGACAATCAATTTTGTCAATATATGATGATCTATCAATATATAAATGTACATGTACAGTAGATTATTATTATTTTTATTATTATTATGTAATTTTATCCAGAATGTCCATTTTCTTGTTATTTCTGAAAGAAAAGGGAAAGGAAATGAACAAAAAAATCAATCTAACATATATTTTTACAGATGGAAAGTATATAGTGAGGGTATGACTGACATCACAGTCTCACGATTGAGTTGCCAATTTGCTTGCAATATAATAATACCCAACATCACATCACTGTGATCTACTCTCATTTGTATAGTTCTTTGATAGTCTTCAAGTCTTCAACCCCCTTTCCCTTTATTGTTTACATGTTTAAAATTACATGCCACACAGCTTGCAGTATATTAATACTCATTGTGATCATACAGCCATACATAGGATGTTTGAAGAAAGCAATTTCAATTCTGTTTACCAAAATGGGGAGCACTACCATTAATAAACATTTCAGGAGTTATTCATCAGAACAACGATGTAGTGAAACTAAATTATGATTGCCATTATAATTCCTTGCATTGATCCCGGGCTGGTTGCCATGGAAACACGGTGTCATTTTAAATGAATCGGGCAAACAGGCTAGCCAAGGCAAGGCTGCGCCATCTCTCAGACTCTCACCCCGGCCAGAGCAGCTATTAGAGATCAGATGACAATAGAGATTCAAGCATGAATAGATGTAGATGCATCATGACTAAAAAGTACAAGGCTAAAATGCAGAGTCATATTTCACTACCAGTAGTTACATCAGAGCACCACAGGTTTATACAACTGCCACCTTCTACTTACAGTACAGACTAAGTCACATTTGATAAGTCAAATGAAATGGATTCCTAGTTTTTTGTCTCCTCCTTTCTTTTTCACACCACTTCAATTTTTTCAATTTAATACTGCATTTGATATTTTTGTTTTGAAATGATACTAAAAAGCAATCTGAGGATATATAGAGAGAAGATGACAAAAATCTTTCACATATTGCAATGCCACCATGTTTACAATCCCTGCATAAAGCACAATAATTTTGACCAAATAGCATTTCTATGCACAGGAAAAAAAATCAAATATCAAATAACATGGAATGCTCTCCTGAGTTTCCTCAATTAAAAAAAATCCAGATGAGAATCTAGTAATCGATTTTTACTCCCCCTAACTAGTTCATCTTGCCCTATGCATGTACAGTATATGTGGAACAGCAAGCAGCATCTCTGTTCCCAAGGTGGGGGGGGGGGGGGGGGGTTATAAAAGGGTGCTGAGCCAATGAACTGATTTTTTTTTATTCAGAGTTTCTCATTCTTTCATTCCTACATGTTTAAGGGTCCCTTAAAAAAAAAACATGTCTCCATTTATTTCCATACTTTTGTTATTCAATATCTGTTTTGGAATTAAATGAAGTATCATGTTGCACAATTTTCCGGATTCAAAGTCCATACACGTACATGTAGGTATGTATATTTTGTCAGTGTTTTCGATTTCACATCTGTGTTACTGTTAATGCAAATTCAGACACAAGTTAAAGTAGGACTTAAAAGTCCTCTACATTCCCTTCGTGTCTGATAATATGGGATATTTGCATTCAAATACAAAATATGTTTTAAGAAATTAACAGAACCAATGTGTGTCAGAAAAATAATGCAGGAAAAGGAAATTCATCTCATTGACTCATCTGCCTCAGTGCTATAATGTGTGAATAAACAAAATTCATATTTCATTCATATCACAGCCCCCCCCCCCCCCCTCCTCCCTCTTACCTCCCCCAACTCTATTGCCTCACTGATTGGAAGAACTCTTGAATAGGTCTAAACATTTGGTAATGAAAAATAACCTGAGTCATCTGCCTCAGTGCTTTATAATGTGTGAATAAACTGAATTCATATTTCGTTCATATCACAGCCCCCCCCCCCCCCCACTCCCTCTTACCTCCCCCAACTCTATTGCCTCACTGATTGGAAGAACTCTTGAATAGGTCTAAACATTTGGTAATGAAAAAATAACCTGAGTCTCGCCCAGCATGTGTGTGGTACATATTGCATATATACACATGCATAATACATGTACAAATACACAAAATTGATTTTCTCATACATGTAGATCTCTCTTCCTCAGGCTCTGATATTACACATGGTGAAAGAGCAGAACTATCTCTGCTTATTTATAAACAAAGGCAATGTTATTTCCTGCCTTTGGAAGAAACATAAATTGTTTTTTGCATGAAAAAAAATGAGATTTGAATGATTACAAATTTCCAAGATTGGAATCCTTCTCACCATTGCGTAAATGTGAATGGCCCTTAAATAGCGTCAAGAAAACGTTAAATTTGAAACATGATTTAGAAACCCTTTTGAATGTCACTATTTTATAGCTGTGTCTGTGTTAAGAACTCCACAATATTGAGGAGGATTTGATAAGACTTCTGTACAGTTATTACAGTATCAAGTAGTAATTCATAATCCCCATTACACGCTCTCTAAAATGTGCTCTGGGCTTCTTGCGAGATGAAACAGGAAGCTTGAATTTCCAAAGTAAAAGGTGAGTTTTCTTACAATTACTGCCACGTGCATGGCTAGCACATGTCAACAAACACAATTACATCTCATCAAGGTAGCTTTAGGACTTCAACAATTCCAAATACCGGTGTAGTAATTAAAGGGAAATCTAACCCAAATAGACAGCTACCGGTACTCTAAAGCCTAAACGAAAGCATAACAATCAGAGTCTAAGCAAACTGATAATAGTTTCTATTACATCTGACTAAATATAAGAAAGTTATGAATTTTTGAAACTTGTAGTCACTATGTACATGTACATAGGAACTTCAAATTGGCGGAAGCGGTAATGTCAATGTGATGTACATGTAATGTACAGTACATGTAGTGTCGGGCTACTTTCCCATCTGTTCAAAAATATAAAATGACTAAAATTTAACTTTAAACAAAATTCATGGCTCAGGAGGGTCTTTTCTTTTTAAAGGACCTTCTGACCTAGACTATAATAATATGCCCCAAGGGAGAAGTAACTTACAGCGTACATGTAAGAGAAAAACAGAAAGTAATTATATTTTTGTACACTGCAAATGGGGGAGTTATCCGCATCCTACATCACAATCCACTGACCAAACTACCAATATGAGATTCATGTAGTTATCTCATATTTCAAACATTCATAACTTTCTTTACTTTTGGTCCGATTCTATTCCAACTTTTGCCATTCTATTTCTGTGTTTTTTCTGCTTTCATACTTGTCAACATGAATTGCCATTTTAAAAAAATACACTCAAGACCCCAAATCAAATCACTATTCCTAACTTTAAATTTTGTCTCTTAACTTCCTCTCCTTGCACATATCAGACTCATAGTAAATTTTGTCTCATTTTTAAACTTTGTACATTTATGTCTGTCTTGTCTGATCAATTCATCATTTTGCATCCTATTTGTCATTTATTTGTTTGTAATTGGATATTCATTATGCTCTTTCAATCTTTTCACTTTTTCGTGAAACTTGCTTTGTGTGTACTGTACCGTGTAATTTGTGTATTGTTTGAACGGCGTAGTCTACATAAGTAATTATATTAATTTTTTCTTCATCAGCTCCTCGGAACTCAAGATATTTTGCTCAGCGTTCGCATTCATGTCTGTCTTGTCCGATCAATTCATCATTTTGCATCCCGTTTGTCATTTTGCAACTGATTACATTAGAAATCACTTGTTTGTTTGTAATTGGATATTATTATGCTCTTTTAATCTTTTCACTTTTTCCTGAAACTTGCTTTGTGTATTGTGTAATTTGTGTATCTTGAATATCTTGTTTGAACAGCGTAGTCTATGAGTAATTATATTAATTTTTTGTTCATCAGCTCCTCAGAACTCGAGATATTTTGCTCAGCGTTCGCGCATAGTTCGAGTTCGAGTCCTCGGGCTGGTGAAGACGCACCGGATAAATAGCGGGATATTTTGCAAACTAGCCCAAGATATCTTGGGATGATTTCCCGAGCAATAGGCCGCTATTTTCGCCTTCACCTGCCGAATGGCCTGCTATTTCATGATCGGGTTAATATCTAGGATCAGAAATAGCGGGCTATTTGGCAATCTCGAGCTGATGAAGCAAGCCTAATGCGCTCGTGCCCTTTGCCTTTGGTAAGGCATTATATAATCCTCATTACCAAATCCCTCTGGGAGGACTTAAAGCCGTTAATTCCCTGGTTGTTTACTTACTAGCAAATACTGTACATGCTTTCTTTAGTAGTCAGGTAAAACAATCATCATCATCCTCATCATCAAACATACATAATTTATGACAGTGTTGGACAATAAACTATAAATTATTATCTTGAAAGTGTAAGTACTATACAGCGTAAGTACAGAAAGTACTAGGTTCAATCATGTCTATGCAACATATTTGAATGAAAATCTCCTGAAAATCGATTGCAAAATGAGGAATTGTAAATTCTGCAGCGTGTCTGCCAGGTTTGACAAATTCAAATGAAATCTGATGAAAACGAAAGGACAAGCGTTGAAATTGATTGACCATTGAACAGCTTGAATGACAAATATCTAAATTAACTTTGACATTTGCACGATTCGAGGATTCCCAGGACAAAACTGAAGGGCACAAAGATGAATTTGAATGAAGAAAGTGATCAAACAACAGCTCAATGACACAGCAAGATGCATCTCATGGCAAGATTTCTTTAAAAAATCTCAGCGTACACGTTAAGGCTTCATAAATGTACCGGTACATGTTTTCTTTCATACCTGACTTTCAACCATTTTCTCATCTGAATCTTCAACTTTCTTCTCATATCTGATTTTCAACCTCATATGAATTTACATGTGCATGCATTTTATTTTCGTCTAATGGCAAAAGGAAATAGATTGTTATCTCTCCTAGAGGACGCATGGACAAATAAGTTTTTTTTTTTTCTCATTTCATTTGGAACTTAATTAACATCTTCTCTCTATCTTTGATTGAAGTTTAAAGAAAAGTATACCCCAATCAAGACGATATTCTAATTTTTCTGTTCTCTTTCCTCTCCCCCAAATTTGTTCTTCTTAACTGTATTAAAGGGATCGTTTAACAATGTTAAATCTGAGATAAACGGCCCTACGTGTTATCAGTGTCTGTGATATGATGTAATATTGAAGCCCTAAAAAAAATTGCGCTTCAAAATGATCAAGAAGTGCCTCAAAAAAGTAAAAATCTTTGAGTGACCGGTTTTACCATACTCGTTTTCCCCAATAGACTGTAGTGTTATGAAAACCGTCAGGCGAACGGTTTTCAAAATTTGTAATTCCAATCATAAATATCTTGATAATCAGACAGGCGATCGGTTTGTAAAAGTCACGGGGTTCCTGACTGACCTAAAGGTTTATAATTATCATTGCATCATGAGCTAATTCCAGAATATGTTTTTAGAATCTGAGACAAAGTTACCGGATCCCTTTAAGCTTCTAACTTATGTTACAATTTCACTTTTTTCTAGCCAAACATCGCGCAGAATTGCTCCGAGGAAGATGAGGTTGATATATCATCACAAAATTATCGGCCTATTAATTGTTGCTACAACAGTAGGACAAACATTATGGCTTGGCGTACTTGACACATAATGCAATTTGCATTCTGACTATTGAAATACGATTATTCATCACATAAGAATGAAAAGTTTGTAGAGAAGCACTGAACAAAAATGTGTGCATTAAATTAGGAAAAATGGCTTATTACTAATTAGAAAGCCTTTTTACAAAGAGAAAGTCTGCTCTACAGTATAATGTACATACACGTACATGTACTGTACATAATAAAAATAAGTGGTCTATTTTGAGAAGAGTACCGGTATGAAAAATTCAACAGGCCTTGGGAGTAACAATCGGTGGACTGTACTTCAATCTGTAATCAATACTTTCACAACACACAGATGATAAATGTCATGTTCATGTACTATCAATGATATCATACAGTAAAACATAATGCTAATCAGCTCTGTCAAAACATAGATGGAGAGGGGGAGAGAGGGGGGGGGAGAAAGAGAGAGAGAGAGAGAGAGGGAGAGAGGGAGAGAGAGAGAGAGAGAGAGAGAGAGAGAGAGAGAGAGGAGGGAGGGGGAGGGTGGAAAGAGAAGGATACATGGGGGAGGAAAGGAAGTGATACAGTGTATGTGGGAGGGAAGGGAGAGGGAAGAGGGAAGGGAGAGGGAAAGGGGGGGGGGGGGAGGAAGAGAGAAAGAGAGAGAGAGAGAGGAAGAGAGGGTGAGAGAGAGGGTGAAAGGGAGGGAGAGATACCGGTAGATGGGGAGGGAGGTAAGAAAGAGGTAGGGATGGGGGGAGAGGGGGTAAGAAGTGGTTCTAGAGCGGGAGGGGATTCAAGCTCCCTCAAAAATACTTCTCTAAAAAGATGGACTTTGTAAACATCAGGGATGAGACGGAGGAATTCAACAGGAATGGCAACATTTACACGTACATGTATGGAGACATATTAAGCCAAGAAAAACCATAGCATGGAATGAGATGTCGGGTTTTGCTTTGATACAAAAGCCAATTAATTAGGTGCAATCATCATTAGTTGATTATCAGGGAGTATTCATCATCTCCCATTGAGTATACATGTACACTGTAGTATGGCTTGCCATGTGATTGATGATGTGTACTCTTGTTACCATAACGATGACATCTATAAAGTATTGATGACCCTACAGAGCCAATGAATCCAATTCAAGCTTAAAATTGTTGCCTTCAATATGAGTGTACATGTACACGTACAGTATGTACAATTTGTACATGTACATTGCAGTTAACCTTTAATAATAATTCCCTAAATAGAAGCCAATATTTACATGTAGGCATAGTCAAATGAGTATTTTTAAAACTAGTTTATTCTCCTTCCAATGTTCCACACATCCGTTTCAGCTGCTGCATCACATGTTTTCTTTTCTCTTTTTATGGAATAAAACAGATTGATTAAAAATTGATGGAAATCTGAGTGATTTTCTTGAGTGGTGCTTTCTGACATGGAAATTCCTCCTTTGGCAATCTTTCGGAGCATACATGTAGGATCAAGGAGCTTTTAGATTTTTGATAAAGTGATATATACGTAACATTTTACATACATGTACATGTACTATTAAATCCTACATGGCATGCAATTCTGTCAAAACAACGTCTGGTGAAAGCAATTGTCAATCTTTTTATTTTTTATTCTTTTTTATTTTTTGGTACAGTTGTTGAATTCCAATGTCAAGTAGCCTTTGAAAGTACAATCACAAATAAACATACATGTACATGTGTCTTCATCACCTTTCATTTCACACGTTCAAATGAGTGACTATAATTTATTCTATTCACTCTATTGGGCTTATTTTTCTAGCCAGTATTGATTACCGTATTTGCCGGCGTAAAGGCCGCACCCCCGCATAGGCCGCACCCCCGATTTTAACATTTAAAAAAAAAAAAAAAAAAAAAAAAAAAAAAAATCATATTTTGTTGTTGTTGTTGTTGTTGTTTTGCTGCCGAAAACCCACGCGTGGAAGGACCTTCCTTTAACATCGAGGTGCAGTTAAAGGCGCTGATTTGTGCTTGTAAACTTGTCACAAATAATAGTAACAATGTCGTTTTTAGAAGAATGTGTAAGATCATTAATGTGAATTAAAAACAATAAAGTACCTATGGTACCAGTGGTGTACCTTGTGGTACACCATTTGTTATAGGAAAAAATTTGAGGAACTATTATTTTAAACTACATATTGAGATCTATTAGAAAGATTACTTTCAAACCAAGATGACAGTCAAATTTTAGTGTTGTCGTAGTTTCCGAGTGGTGAGTCAACACACTGATTACTGAGCTGGGAGACATTGCCAGGCATAGCGCCATAAATCGAAACTAAAAAAAAAATAAAAAAAAAAAAAACTTTTTTTTACTCTTTCGCCGCATAGGCCGCACCCCGACTTTTTGATATTTTCTCTTCCGAAAATACTGCGGCCTATACGCCGGCAAAATACGGTAATCTTACATGTACTTGATTGACTACCGGTAATGTTTTTATCACTATGAACATGACTGACAAAGAAAGCGGACAAAATATACAGTTCCTCAGTTAGACAAAGGAACATCCCTTCACTGCTATTATGTAAAAAGGTGAATATGCATGTGACACCTGTTCTACACATTTTTACATAATAGCAGTGATAGCAAATAGCAAAATATTGACAAAACATTAGCAAATTTTGCAGTCATTTGCGTCTGTTCCGAAAAATTCATTTTGAGAGCAGATTTCCTCAAAAAAGTAAAAAGTGGTACCAACTGATTGTATGATATCTTGCATTGCAATTTGCTAAGTATGAAATTACCTTATTTTTTATGAATCACATTTTTCATAAATCAGCTGTAAACCCATGTGCGCAAAGTAAGGTCAGGTTGTTTTTATGACTTTTTTTAGTTGCAGCGCATCAAATTTTCAGATGGCTATATCTACGGAATCTCCTGACGATAAATTTTCTAGTTGAACCACTTTGTCATAATACTTTGCGTATTTGGTAATAGATCTACATCTAATTGTAAATTTGTAATAAAAAAAATTGTGTAGAATATGACAAATCATAGATCAAATATCACATTTTTTAATATTTTCAAAAATCTCAGCAAACTTTGGTCACCTCATCACACTAGTATTAATTCTAGTAGTAGTAGAGTAATGGAGGGAGTTTTCGATCATCCCGAAAACGAGGATCGTCTTCGTAAACACGGACAGACGCGTGACGCGTCCGGAAAAATAATGATCCTCTACAAAAATGAGAATGATTCTGATTTCTGATCTGCACATTGGTGATGCGAAAAACAGATTCTGCAATGATTTTCTTGATGCTTTCACATCGACTTTGTACAGAGACTTTCACGTTGTGAGCGATAAATCCTCGGGAAGATGGAAAAGCCATAAAAGTAGACAGTGAACTGGAGGTATTTTATTATGCGGAATTCGTTTTTCACATTGCCAGCTATCGCGCAGAACTTTATTTTCTAGGAAGCATTTTGTCCACGTTTACGCGGATATCCTCGTTTATGCGGACGATCCTCCTTCTCGGACCAGGTTACTGATTTGACTTAGAGGTGAATTTGAATTTCCTGAAGTCAAAAGATCAAGAATGACCAACCAGGCCATTCCATATCTTTCAGTCATACTATTACTAGTCTAGACCCTGTAATATAGACCTCTTGTCTCTAGACAGTATGCATGTCGATGTCCATGGCATGATTAACAAAATGAATTATCCTAAATAAATTTATACACTAAATTAGAGGACTTAAGTTTTAGCTTTAGAAAACGAAATGTCTAGCGTGTTGCCACCCCATTCCCAACCCTTGTCCTTCTGCAGTGCTGCAGTCTTCACAGCAAGTTTCTGTGCGCCCGTATCCCATCGCCTACAGCTACACCTGATATCAGCCCGTACCGCCCGGCTAACTTACTTACCCGTGATCCGCTACGGTCTACATTTTCTCCTGCTGCTCCCAATGGGCCAACTGGAACCACAGCAATTTGCGTTACGGGCATGATCACTGATGATGGACGGTACAGTTCTCCAATATTACATCACAAAATTACACTTTATTTATTCTGCTGACTGCTAGAACTCATGAATAATATACAGTCTTGCCCGTAAATGTAGGGAAACCTTCTAAAAATGCACATCTTTGAAAATTACTGCACATGACGACGTGATCTGTATCCGAGTCGGAGACGACATCCTCCCTCCGAGCTCCGAGCACTGCACCATTCTCTAATCCGCTATGTGACGTAATATGACGCGTTCGATCAAATTGCGGCTATATTTATACACGGAACAGTGCTACGTTCATCTGTTCATATATTCAAATCATTATCATAAGATATTCAAATCATTATCATAAGATATTATATAAACATAAACATGTTACACTTACACTGTCATTTGATTACTTTCTACTTTCTTTCTATTTTTCTCACTATTTCTTTCCTGTATATCATTCATTTCCTCTATATGCCGGTATTGTATTTATTGGTACCACCAGGGATCCCTGGTACCACCAATTAACCCACTACTACTCACCCCACACATATATATTTGCAGGTAATATCTATAAATGTTTTTGTATGTGTTATTGTTTAATTTAAAAAAAAAACTATTGTATTTTGATATTGTAATTTTAAGCAGGGGATGATCCCCGATAAACCTCTGTGGTTTTTGATCACCCCCTCTGCAGGTTCATCTTTTGTTGTAATGCTCTTATATTTTATTGTAAATTATACTGTCTTTTATGAATCTGTGGAAATAAATGAAATTGAAATTGAAATTGAATTACAAGTTGACATAAAAGTAATCTAGTTCTCTATAAACAATATTTCTCTGCCGACATATCTAGCTGCATATATATTTCAGGTTTATATGAAGTTGCTATTATTTTCTTGGGATATGACCCATATCCTTATCTTTCATCACAAATTTATAAACTTGAGTATAAAATCATCATCATCGTCGTCATCACCACATTTCAATTATTTATTTCTCAATCATTGTCATGTATTGCCATACTCGTATTAAATAACAATTACACTCAAGTCAAACACTGTACTCCACATCTAAACAACAACCATGATACAGCCATCTATCAGCAATATCATTAGACCAGGGCCCTCCATCTTTTGCAATTGATATCAATCACATCTTTGTACATAAGAAATAGGGAACTGCGAACTTAATTGCGATCGATTTGAGGACTTGCGATTGATCCGCACTGAGCACCATTTCAAGAAACCATACAAAATAAATTCTCGCCAACAACCCATTCAAACATGTTTTAAATCTAAAAACACGCATTTCAATGGGATATTGGTGAACTTGTACATGTGACTTTTTTGTGAAATGATGCCCTGTTAATTCACTGATCCGGTTCATTCATTCATTTAGTCAATCAAATCAAATTTTATTTTATTTTATTATCATTATATCATACATTATTTGTTGGGGGGGGGGGGGGGTGCATGTGCCCCCCTGCAAGACCTAATCTGTCATACCCTCAATACATATTAAATAAGAAAGAAGACTGCCTCCACTAACGGACGTCCCAATTTTAAGCCAGAAAGAAAGGCACTTAATAAAGTAATTATCTTATCTTTGTATTCTTGTCACCGATTGTTCATGCAGAGGTTATTTAGCTTTATCTATTCAGGAATCTCATGCCAAGATTATATTAAAGTAAACTACTACAGTGTCAATTTCAGAGACCAAAAAGAAACTCTATTCATTGCATTACTGTTTCATAAATTTTTATTCAATTCATTACAATCATTAGATATATTGTTTTATCAGAGAGAGAGAGAGATAGAGATACAGAGAGATTGAAGACAAAGAGGAAAACAAGACAGCTATAGACTATTAAGACATGTACACAGTTGAACAATATAACCCAGTCCCCTCACATGCTGTAATAAAAACATAAAATAAGAAATTCACTACCTCCTAAAAGGCATTTCGACATGAATGGTTAGAAAAAAGGTTATTCTTTAAGATAATATATATATGCATTAAAACCACCATATCCAATCGACACATTCAAATGTTTAAATTCACCTCTCAAAAGATTAAAAAGGACAAAAAACTTGTAAAATACCAGTATCAGTGACATCAATCTGATTGAAATCACCTTTTCGTGCAAAACTTTTCAAGATGGAAAACTATGAGTCATAGAAACCTTAGCAGAAAAAATGAGGGCAGAGATGACACAATTTTCATTATAAGATCTACTAAGTACAAGAGAAGAAGACCTTCATAATCGGAATGCCTGCTATAGGCCTACCTGTACAATGATGTATGCAAAATTAAATGCATGTCTTCAATCATTACAAGTCTCAATCGGTTTTTATCAATTATACACACACATTTATTTACGGAGCTCTTGTATATAGCGCCATCTACTGTCAAATATGGTTCAGTGTGTTTATCATCATGTCCAAATAAAGTTGATGCTAATCATAATTTTATGACAATTACAATCGTTACTTTGATAGTAAAAGTCTAGCCATCACATTATAACTAAACCTGCCAGAACTTCAGCTGTGCTCAATCCAGTCTTAATTCTGTTCGCAAGATAAAGACTAATTAATCCTACCTACATGGCGATATTGCAGTACTTTTTGACTCGTATTTCTCCAGCTATTATTTTAGAAAACCTGTGATGAACCATTTCCCCTACAATTTAATGTATGGGGATTCGCTAGCCCTAGGTTTTTACACCTCAATGTATGGGAATAAACTAGCTTTACACATCGCATTAAAAAACGTAAGATTAAACTTCATACACCCTTTTCGCCTCTATAAGTACTTAAACTCTAATGTTCAAACATATGGGTAAAACCATTAATTCATGATTTGTTCTTTCAAGGGTATCGTTTCATGAAACTGTCATCGGTTCACCGACATTCCATTGAAAATGTGCTCATTTTAATACATGTGTTACAATGAGATGTCAGTAAACTTGTATTTTTAGTGTTTTTTTTTTTAACGATACCCAGATCACTAACCAACCAAAATTGTAGGTACATAAGAAAACTGCATTTATACAAAAGAAAAAATGGTGAAATCATTTGAGAGTTGATACATTTCATAAGCAATGCTACTCAGTTGCCATTCTCATTGATTAATAGATATAAAAGTGTTGTGTCAGTGCAGTGAGCATCCTACATTAAAGGCAAATCAAGCAACAACCACCTAAAGAGAACAGCGAACAGTTCATGAGAGGTTCCAACTTAACATTTTGAATAACGTTGTTAAAGTACAGTAACCAAGCCCCAGCCCCCCCCCCCCCTCCCCTGCAACCCTACACTCTCTGCTTTTTATAGATACATGTACATGAAAAACCACCTTCACTGTAATTAGAAACTCTGATGCAGGTACTAAACTCCTCATGTAACAGTGAAAAGTGACAATAAACCAAAGCAATTTCTAGGAATGCACCTTAAAGGCAAAGTATACTTCAACAAAATATTACTCAAAATCATATTAAAATAATAATGCACTTATAAATCTTACAGGAATATATTACTGTCCTATATAACTAGCTATACATGCTTTTTCCCCTATCTACTAAATTAATTTCACAACTAGGATTCTTTAAGAGATGAAATGAATATAAACAAAAATCTTTGATCTCTTTTAACTTAGACCTGTAACTGCAATGAACAGTAAACTGCAATAACTCCAATCCTAAACTGCAGAGCAGTGAGCATATATAAATCAACAATGTTGTAGGTTTGCTCTATTCTCTAATAGAAATCAAACGACAAACCGAAAACTGTTGCCTCAGTGAAGCTAACATTTTATCTTATTTGTGATAGAATGACAGCATGTTAGTACCGGGAAAACAAAGTGAAGGGTTGATGAAATCCTGTTCGAGGTTTATATTTTGTCAGAATAATGATATCAGGTGAAATATGAATAAGCTATTAAAATCGAAGGTCACACAAACTTCAGCATTACCAGTAAATAGCCTGGCAGAAATGAGCTGGCAGGGGAATTACAGCCAGAAAACTATGCAGACAATAAATGACCATGGATGTATTAAAGCCTCACATTTTTCACAATTTGTGAGTCTCTTTCCATGAAATTCAATGGTAGATGTTCATGATTCGTAATAGTTGAAAGTCAGGATAGGTTTATGGTTTAGTCCCCAGAGTACATTTTGTAACTGACCAATGCCTAGGAATAAAATCAAAAGCCACATTATGTTCCAACATGAAGTGACACCTGTTACAGATGCAGAAATGCACATGAGACTCACTCTTATATGTATAGCATCTCTTCACAGGGTTACTAAACAGCCCATAATAAAAGATATCAACCATTTAATGGTCTTTACATCAAGCACAAGCGAATACAATTGGCATGACTGTGAGTGCAATGGCTAAATCAACCTTTTAAATGAGTTGTAAGAATCAAAGTATTCCCAAAATGAAAAAAGAAGAAGAAGATAATTAAGTTACTTAGAAAATGCTTTTGAAGTGATAAGTGATCAGGGATGAATATCTACAGGTTTGAAAGATCACTTCAACTTCAGAGTTTGGGGGAGTAATTTATAAAAAACTACAAATAACATGGAGATATTTTGGGGGGTTTCTGTCTCACAACAATGAGACTTGGAAAACTTGTTTATGCACCATTCCCAGAGCAAAAAGATTAAACTTCTGTTATTATAATACCTTCCATTCCATTATATAAAAATCACAATACCTAAAACCCAAATTTCAGGGTCTCAAAAATATCTGCAAGTACTTAGATCATGGCTACTTACAACTGTTGTTATACAGAACTTGAAGTTCTCATTGAAATGCAGAAAGAGTAAGACTCAAAAGGAGAATGTATGACTATCGCATTCCTACTAAACTTTACCACATGACATACTACACGATCCGATGACAAACAAAGTTTGGAGAAAAAAATATACGTTGGTTAACAAAGAGGTCTTTAAAAAAACAGATTAAGTATTCATTTTCAATGTTGACAAAGTAAGAATGATTCTAAGAATTGTAAAGCGCTTCACTGTATCAAAACATCAAATATGTAATACTTTAATTAATATGAACAACAAAACTCTGAAGAGAAAGATTTTTTGATTTCTGTCTTTCCCAATTAATCCTCACAGACATTTCTACCAAACTTTGTTCATAATCAGATCAGACACTGTCTATTGGGTTATACCCTAAATTCAATATTTGTCGTAATTCGGTTACAAATGATGTGAACAGGATTCATGACTTTTAAGAGTTTGTGCCTTCAAAGATTTCAGATTTGGACTACTAGTATTGTAAAACTGTCACTAGCCCAGTTCTCAGATGGGTCCAGGATCTATTTAATTTCTTTCTGTAGATGCTGGATGAACTCGTAGTAGGACTTGGATCCTTCTGCTCGGTCCTGGATCAAATGGCCTAGGAACAAGCCTCGGTCCGGGCTATCATCCCTGTTGATGAAAAAACAAAAACAGATAGAGCTCAAATCAGAATATTTGCCATAACAATATCACAGGATTCTTTTCATCATTTTGATTGAAGGTGTGATAGGTGTGAAGGCTAAGTGGTAGAACAGTGGTCTTGTAAACTTGAAGGTTCCAGGTTTGAAAACAAGTTGATGCGCTAGTGCCATTTGGGATGGGATTAATCCTCAATAAATAACCCAAGTCCTTTATATAGAACTTCAAGAGAAGGTTGACAAAATTACCTTTCTAATTAGCTTTCTCATTCATTTTGAAATATATCATAGCAACTTTGTGCCCTGAAAAGAGTTTCTTTTCAGGTGCCCTAAAATTTGATTTATGACAAGAAAATCTAAAAAGTTAGTACCAAACTTTCATGCCAGATGCGTGAAATAACCGGGTCTGGAAGAAAAACTAGGCTCTAAACCCATGCTTTATTGTCGGGTCTTAGTTTGGAATATGGTGGGGTCTTAGTTTAAAAGTTTTTTTTTTTTTTTTTTTTTTAAACTTTTGAATAACCGGGTCTGGAGGAAAGACTATGTACGATTCTCATGTTCTCAGCGTCAATTTTTTTTTCCCCTCCTTTTTTCTGCTTCCATTTAAAAATATTAAAAAACTTGAATTCGGCCTAAATATATTCATAATTGAATGACACACGCCCTTAAGACTAAAACAACAACAACAACGTTATTCTATAGGAAAAGGATTATGGGGTCTTAGTTTTGAAGATTTTTAAATTTTTTGAAATAACTGGGTCTGGAGTAAAGACTGCGCACTATACCCATGCTTTATTACAGGGTTTTAGTTTTGAACAAATTCGACAAAATATCCCTTCAAATTTATTACATTTGTAGGTAAAGTCATTATTACATTTGTGGGTGATTCAAAATTATTACATTTGTGGGTGAAGTGGTTATTACATTTGTGGGTGAAATTATTACATTTGTGGGTAAAGTGTTATCACATTTGTGGGTGTTATTAAATTTGAGGGTAAAGTGTTATTACATTTGTGGGTAAAGTGTTATTACATTTGTGGGCGTTATTACATTTGTGGGCATTATTACATTTGTGGATGTAACATCCCCCCCCCCCCCCAAGATCTCGGCCGTTTCACCGCCGATCGCCGCGAAAATGTGCATGCATGTCAAGTGAAGTGTATAGAATACTATGGTAATTTCAAATTTCTGAAAAATTCACTCACTTGCATATTTATGGTAATTTATGCAAGTAAGGTCATACAATTCACATTTTTGCCCATAAATCATACATTATTCATATTTAAGTATTCTTTTTCACTACATATATGTATTAGACCATTTGGAATAATAATACATGTACAACAAAAAATATTGGAAGAGCCAGGTTGTTCCTTATGTTATCTCTTGTTTTTATAACTTCTTATGTATTTCATTATTTTTTAACTTATGTATTTTATTGTTTTTGTTGTTTTATTTCATTTATAACTACAATTTAACTATTTTGACCCCAAAACAAACATCTAAACTTTAAACAAGACGGAATAACCAATGTTTTATCTATTTTTAGGAAAAATGACTTTTACATATGTTTTGATCACAAATCACGAAAATGAGCGATTTTCGGGCTGACATGCAAAGACAAAAGGTCACGTGACCTTGTAACCGTAGGTCGGATTTTCGAAAAAATCATTTAAAAAGATGCGTAAGACTCGAAAGTAAAAAGTCATGAAAGGAAAATTTTATATCTGCCGCAGTTTCGGAGTAGTCCCAAAATTTCTACAGGGGGGGGGGGTCAAATTGAACCCCCCCCCCCCACCAGTTAACATAGGGTTAAAGCTGTTGCACCACTAAATGTTAATCTCCAACTGCGATATTTAAATCCATTCTATTATCAAATGAAGGAGAGTTTCAATGTCGGAGAATATAACTCACCTGATGACCAATAGAGGAGCATGGTACGGTCTCTTTTCTAACAGCCAGCTCACAAATAACCTCAGCTGATCAGACCTAGGGTTATCCAACTCGGGCAAGTCAATCTAAACAGAAAAATGAAATATGACAGGTGGCAGGTGGTAAGACAATGTATAAAGCAACCCACAGAAACAATAACTATCGGCATGCAAAGAATCCCATTGGTACAAACTATGCAATATCTACAAGTGTTGTGCAAGAATTAACTGTATAATCAAATTCAATTTTGTTTCATTTCATTCATTCATTTGTCCAATACATATTTGACATGGCTATTGTTTTTCACACAAATTTACGTTGCAATATGGAACATAATTTTGAGATAGATGGACATCACATTGTTCACCTGGCATCATAAAATCAAACGCAAAAAAAAATTACTTCACCTACAATTAGGGTAGCTATAAAGTTTCAACATAGCACAGTTTTGTCCTATTCAATAGTTTTCCAATGATATACCAGTACATACTATTTGATTGAAGAATGTACCAGTGAAACAAGCAAAGAAGAATGAAATTTATCATTCTTGCTAATTCAAAAAAAATTTGATTAAACCACTCCTTTCTTAATCCCCACTGTACTACTTGTAGCTACTTGCTCCCTATATATAGAAAAAACAATGCCTAAGCGGTGCCCGTTGGTCTCCCATGAACCTCTTTTTCTTATGTTCATTGAGAGCTGAGTTGAGATAGCCACCTGTCAGTGACCACACTGGGTGGTCTAATTCCTCCTGGCCAGACTAGTACTGACGGGCTTTAAAATCGTCTTCATTGAGGAGTGACTAACCTGCCCTTCTGGTATGCTAGCAAAGTCGGGTGCATCAAGAATATCACTGCAGAAGTCCGGTGAGACGTTCTGACCCACAAAGAGATACATGATGTCACCACAGTCCATGAGGAATGCCCCTTCCCGGCTCAGGTACTCCGATGATAGACCCACGAGGTTGGGCTGCGGGATGGCCTGGTCTTGAAGCAACAAGGCACCCTGTAGGAAGAGTTAGGTATCGGTTAGCATAATCAGTGATCGGGGCCCCATTTCACAAAACTTGTCATCAGTGACAAATGACAGTTTTTGTGATGAACTAGTGAAATCCTTGCTACTGATTGGTTCTCAGCAGATTTGTCACTGATTTTTCTCATTTGTCATTGAAAAAAGGCTTTGTAAAATGGGTTCGGGGTCAACAGCTGTAAGGAATGTAAAGCTGTGCTGTATTAAGATGAATCCAAATCAATCGCAACTAAATATGTGATTTAAATCAACTGTAACTCTGTACTTTAGAGACAGACAAGTGCAACTTTCTGATCATTTTTAAGGCCTCCCAATGAATTAGCTTTAAGACCTCTTTTATAGCAGTACAGTAAACTCTGTAAAAGTGACAACTATAATAACAATTAATAATAGCTACATCTATAATTAGCACATATACATGGCCCCAATGCTGGGGGGGGGGGGGAGGGGGAGGAGAAGGAAGTGGGGACCATGTTTATCCCTTCTAACATTAATAACAGCTACACTTATAATGGACACATACATTGTAGCCTCCCTAAGAGAATCTAGGAAACTACAATTGATGGTCGTATCTTAGCCAAGGTGTAATATTTGTATTAAGCGCTATATAAATCCAGATTATTATATTATATTAATCTTAAGGTGAATATTTACCTCATCAGTGAGATTGTGTACTGGGTAGAGATCAGGATGGACATGCAGCATGTTGTAGAGCAGTGGCATGCATTTGAACATCTCCATCGCAAACACACGGGTATCCAGCTTCGTGCTCATACCAATGCGAAATGCAAGCTGCACAGATAAATGAGATATTAATATCAGGTCTCAAAAAGAAAAGACATAAGGATGAATTGGAATAAATTACCATGATAACATAATTGTTTCATAGTTATATTGTTGTTTATTAATTATGTTATTACATTTTATTTTAATTTAGTGACAGATCAAATTATTCAAAAACATATTCATATGGGCATTTGGCATTCCATACTTAGTCGGTGGATTAAACCATGGACTAAAGTTAGTCTGCTTTCGAGAATACCACCCATGGTACTTACATTCTTCAACAGTGACAGTGTGTACAGGGGCAGCAACCTCATGTTCGGTGGACACATGAGAGCGCCCATTGTATGTGAATTAGCCAGAGTCGTCTTGTACGCAGCCAACGAATCCAGACAGACATTGACCAAAGCATCACGGGCGTCACCCAGAGACGAGGTTTGGCACTTGTCAACAGCTGTGATCAAAATCAAAGAAAAGGCCAGAGGTCAAAACAATAAAAAGTATTAACAATCAATTTAAAGACAATTCTTGCATTCAATATCATATCTAGAGACCGTGTTGACAATTCGACTCACAGATTTGAAGTATGGATTAAACAAATCCATAATTTTCTCATTTATTGTCCGATTTTTCTCAAACCTTCACTGATTTGTTCTTCTCATTATTCTCCTTGTATTGTATCAAAACAATCTTATTTTCAGGGTGGACTTCCCTTTTAACACGCAGTCAGGACTAGCTTGATTTTCTTATCTTCATTTACTCATTACTCTGCAGCTATTTTATATTTTCTACTGGCAGTCTTAAATGTGTTATTAATATGCAATCTTAAAGATTCAGTTAGATTATGGTTTGAACTTTATTTTCCCACCAATTATCAGGACATTCTCTTTTTCAATCAAAAGCGAGCAAAAACTCTACGATTCATTGGAGAACTTTTGCATGAATTAGGAACAATCACAAGTCTGTAATGTATACCTGAAGTTGCTGTTACCTTAAAAATGTATTATAAGATGATGACGGGGATCCTAATCAAATGATTGGTTGAGAGCGTACACATGACCACGCATTTATTTTGCCTAACGCGTAATTTGGATAATGACCAGTCATTATCCAATGGTAATGACCGGTCATTAGTAAAATCATGTTATAAAACATCATTTTATAAAACAAATAAAACATTATCTTATAAAACAAATAATACCCATCATTTTGTTCGGGCATTAGTAAAATTACGCACACTTGGTACCTTCGAAACAGTCCAAACACCCTCGGCAATACCTTCACTGATGTGTATTATTTGTATACTATAATATCAATAAATCTTACCCATTCTAGCAAGGAGCCCTGAAATGGCCTGTGCATCAGCTCCTATCATCACATCGGTCAGCTGGTTAGTTACAGGTAGACACATGGTGTGTACTCGGATACGACGCTCACCTACAAATAAACAGACACAGATGTATAAAACAGGATTTTTCTTTTCCTACCAGGTTTACAATTAATTCTCGCATCGAGAGTGACAAATATAGGTGAATGACTTGCCACTGGACATCATGGGCACTGTGTCAGGGTTGAAACTATGAATGGTCAAATGCCTAAGTAAGCCATTCGACTATATCGTCTGCTGAAAGCCATATAGGTGTTAAGTCATATTATTTTACATTGATATTTTGTTTACATACATTTTACATACATATTACATACATATTACATACATTTACATACATTTTACATACATATTACGTACATATTACATACATTTTACATACATATTACATTCATTTACATACATTTTACATACATATTACATACATTTACATACATTTTACATACATATTACGTACATATTACATACATTTTACATGCATATTACGTACAAAATACATATTACATACACTTTACATACTCTTTACATATATTGACACCTTTCTTCATTACATATTTATCCTACCTTTACTGCTGGTATACAGCAGAGCAGCCTGAAAGCATGCTAATGATGAACTGTTGAGGTTATCTTCGATGGAGACCTGCATTGCAAAGCCTGCATCAGGATTGATGTTGGGTAGTGAGAGCAGGTCTGTCGATCTCACAAAGAAGTTCCCATGGAATGTGTGTATGCTCATCCCTAAACAAATAAATTAAACAAATTCTATTAATTTACTATATTCACCTGTATATTCATCTTATTATCCCAAGCCAACTTCCTCTTGCAGATAACAACCACATAGAAAACAATTACTTTACCTTCCTTTTTTCTTTCTGTTGAAGGGTGAGGGCTCTAAACCTCCCCCTTCATACAGTAAGTGCTAAACAGCGATTTCTTTGCCTTGTAAATTACTGTTCTACCTTCAATCCTCGTTTGTATAACAGTCCTTCTTTAAGATCAATTTATGTTAATTTTACAATGTCATTGAATTTGTTGATAATGCACCAACTACATATTTCACCGATAATAACGATTACAGGGATACCAATCAGATGGTTTTACTCAATAAGCTTGAAAAAACCCAACTGGAGCCTGTAACTTCTGTTCAATATGTTACCTGAAAAGTCTGACTCAGCTTGGTGGCAGAGCCTGAAGTCAGGCAACAGCCTGGGAAGTTACACCCCTGTGATTATCATTTGCATACTAAATGTTGATCTATCCATGACAAGAAATAAATAAATAAAGTCAAAAGTGGTAGAAGAAAGGACCCCCCCTCCCCCCCCCCCCCCCCCCCAAAAAAAAAAAAAAAAAAAAAAAAAAATGTTTGCTTGAAATCAGGCAATAACCTGAAAATTGACATCCCTGAGGTAATACAAAGTTTTGTGAAATTTTGAAAATTGGCTGGATAATGATTCTTTACCATTTTGATATATTTGGATGCCCATGTGGATGTATTATAAGCACTAGAAAATTCGGCTCCTAAAACACTTCTGCTTTCAAGAACAAGGGAAACGCTCTCGGCGGTCTCGCCTGCATAACGCAATTCAATATGATAAACCAGAACGTCAATGACGTAGCGCTCATCCGCATCTCATAACAACAAATATCGTAAATTTATGTCGTACACTTTTGAACTGGTCAAAAAATAGAAATTTGATGCCCTGGAAGGGACATAATTTCATTTCAATTGCATAAAGTACCATAAATAATCAATGGAGCAAAATCTCACAATTCTGTGTAGAAGTTTATTGTTCCAAATTTAGCTCTACCAGATAAGGCAAAATCGGTCAAGAAATGAGGGAAAAGAAGCAATTTTTGTTATTTTTGGAATAAATTTGCATAAATTACCATAATTAATTAATGGAGAACAATTTCAAAATTCTGTGTAGAAATTTAGTGTACCAAAGTTAGCTCTACGATATAAAGCAAACCAAATCAAAATCGGTCGAGAAATGAAGGAGAAGAAGCCTTTTTTGTGATTTCGAATAAATTTGCATAAATTAGCATAGATAATGAAGTTCACGATTCTGTGTAGAAATTTTAAATCCCCTCCTAGCCCTATCATATGAAACAATCAGAATCAAAATCGGTTGAAAAATAACGAAGAAGAAGCATTTTGAAAATCTTAATGTTGATGCCACAACAAAGTCTAAGTTTGTTGACCTTAAATGGCCTTTGACCTTAACTTAGTAACCTGAAATTCTACTCACATGATTGGGGAGACTTGATAACCCTACAGTCCAAGTTTCATTGACTAAGAACTTATACTTTCAAAATTATATCAAAAATTCAAAAACTTAACCTTAGGTTAAGTTTTCAATGATGATGCTACAACATAGTCCAAGTCTGTTGACCTGAAATGACCTTTGACCTTGACTTTGTGATCTGAAATTCTACTCACATGATTGGGGATACTTGATTACCCTATAGTCAAAGTTTCATTGACTAAGAACTTATACTTTAAAAATTATACCAAAAATTCAAAAACTTAACCTTAGGTTAAGTTTTTGATGTTGACGCCGTCGCCGTCGCCGTCGCCGTCGCCGTCGCCGCCGCCGTCACCGGAAAAGCGGTGCCTATGTCTCGCTTTTTGCTACGCAGGCGAGACAAAAATGGAATATTAAAATTTACCGGTGCTCCCGGTAAATTTTGATGAATTTCAAATAGCGCTTACGGCCATACTATGGTAGCTGCGACCATGAAAATCTCAGAATATGTAGTTGTAATATATAATTTCCAAATGGGAATAGCCAATTGGTTGATTTTAGTCAAGAAACAATGTTTTTTGGCTTAATTAGAGGGAGTTATAAAACATAAAGAGGTTATTATTTACAATTTCATAACTCTAGACTCGATTTCAACCGCGACAACGATCACTGCATTATGTAGGATCGTATAATTATGCTTCCAATATGTTCATTCAAACCAAATTCATGGCCCCATACCAAAACTTTGTATTACCTTTAATAATTATAAATCACCCACATCGTTTTCCTAGATTTCAAGATGCTTGAAATAAGTTCAGAGTATTTACCCTTGGTGCATCGTATCCTCATGACAGCTTCGAATCCAATCTTTCTCGTCAGGTATCTCTTGAGATCAGACTCTAGCCTCTCAGCCTGGATAGGGTTCTTTACTGTGTGGAAAGCTGGGTAATAACTCAGGCTTCCACCAGAGAATTTGGCAATGCCAGCTGCAAGAAATGAAATTGAATGAATATTCACTGTGAGCTTGTGAAATTAGTATTAGGATGACAGTGTAAAAAAAGAAAATACAGACTTATGTATTGCATACCTGTCAACATTTGAAAATAAGAATTAGGAATTTTTAGCACGTTATACCTTCAAAAATAAGAAATTGCACTTACAGCGGCAGTGTAACTGGCGATACGTGGTAAATCTGTACCAAAAAGCGAATACAAATTTGCTGCTCGATCATGCAGCCATTCCACGCTCGCAATACGTGAACTCTCAAATCACAACACATGATAAAAACAAGCTTATTTGGCTTGTGCACAACAAAAAAAAACAAAAAAACAACAAACAACAAAATTGAAAAATCTGAATACCGTAAATCTCCGTGTATAAGGCGCACTTTTTTGCCGCCGAAAAAATTTGAAAGTCGGGGGTGCGTCTTATACACAGGTACAAAAAAAAAATTTTTTTTTTATAATTTTTTTTTTATTATTTTTTTTATTTTTGATTTATGGCGCTATGCCTGGCAATGTCTCCTAGCTCAGTAATCAGTGTGGTGACTCACCACTCGGAAACTACAACAACACTCAAATTTGTATGTCATCTTGGTTTGAAAGTAATCTTTCTAATAGATCTCAATATGTAGTTTATAATAATAATTCCTCAATTTTTTTTTCTATAACAAATGGTGTACCACAAGGTTCTATCCTAGGTACTCCATTGTCAGAAATTTAGAGGATGCTATTCATATCATGCATGACTATTGATGTTTGGCATAGAACACAGTGCTTCTGCTAGGTGATGTGAAGAGGCTGATGTGGGACACTTGGTATCATGAAGCCTTAGACTGTTGTTACTATTATTTTTGACAAGTTCACAACTTCGACTGCACCTCGATGTAAAATGAAGGTCCTTCCCCGCGTGGGTTTTCGGCAACAAAACAACAACAAAACAAAAAAAACGATTTTTTTTTTTTTTTCTTCCCAAAATAGGGGTGCGCCTTATACACAGGTGCGCCTTATACACGGAGATTTACGGTATTCAGAATTTTCAGGTCCTAGAAATCCAGAATTCAGAATATTCTGGATTATTCGAAAGGGTTGGCAGGTATGATATTAACCTTTGATGGCTTTTACAGACATGTTCGGCTGTATAACTTGAAAGCTTACCCAGGGTAGCGATGTCCATGTACTGTGCTCCCATCATGAATATATCTGCACAGATCTGTTGACCAGAGAAATCTAAAGACATCTTCTTGTAGAAGTCAGTGGCAGGACCAAGATTGGGTACACTCTGAATGATTAAAAATAAAAAAATAATGATAAAAAAATCACACAATGTACTGGATACTGGAATACTTTGCAGTAAGGTTAAAGACCGTCTGTACTAGTTTGGCCAGGGGGATTAGACCTCCCTGCAAGGTAACTGACAGGTGGTTTTCTCATCAAATCAGCTCTCAATTAACATAAGAAAAAGGGGATCATGGGGGACCAATGGTCACCGATAAGGCATTGTTTGGTATATAGAGGGTGCAAGTAGCTATAAGTGGTGCAGTGGGGTTTTAAAACAAAATGCCTCAAAGCATTGAAGAGAGGCTGAGTTCTGGTACAGATGCAAAAGAATTTGTGAGATTTTTCATTATTATATGTCAGTTTGGAAGAATATCGTTGTAAAATTGTCCCCTGAAACAGAATGCTCTCCAGATGCCTTCAATTTCACAGTATGATGAGAAGTACATATAGCAAATTGCCTTCTCTCCCCATCAATTTTCTCCACAGCCAATCATAACCATCCAAAAAAATTCTCATCTGAATAACAACACTCAAGAAACATAGAAATCAAGAAAAATAAATCAGTGTCAAATATTTGTTGAACAAAACTGTCAACCATTATTTGATTCCAAACATCATCCAGTGGGTTATCAAAGATAAATATGGGAGCAATACCTCAAAATTAGAGCAGTGGTCCCATTACCAAGATGTCCCGAGTACGAAACCAGGTCGATGCGCTAGTGCATTTGGGTAAGGCACTAATTCTCATTGCCATGTTCCTCTGAGAGGACCTTAAGCCTCCCCTGGTTGCTTACTTCGGCATACACATGCTCTCTCTAACCAGTCAGGTAAAAATCCAACCATCAAACTAACTAACCCTAAAAGATAATTACGAAGAAATTAAGTTGGTCTTACCTTTGCTGTCGCTCTCTGGTTAGGGTCTTCCCTTGCTTTGAGGGCTCCGACTCCTACAGATGGCAACGTACACTGGAAGATCGTCACCCGGCCTCCAGTTGGACTCTGAAAATTGACCACAGATATGAACTCCTTAAAAATAGTTCACATGACAAAGTTTTAAGGAGAGAAACAAAAGTGGGGTCCTGATACCCCACCTGATTTACATTGGTTCCTGTGTTATAGTGGTGGGATATAGTTTTAACGAGAGCTTTTCGTAATAAACAATTCAAGTTTGAACATTGATATTTCTCGTTCTCATGTACTAACACAATCAAATTTGGTATCATTGAAAGGCCTATTTATTCCGCTTTACAGTGATGCCCAATTTGTTGCGATTAACTTATCACAAAATGACTATCACACTTGAATATCGGGTCAATTAAAAAATGAATTGTCGCAAAATGTATTCATATTATCACCAGTGAATCAATAATTTTAGAGGGGTTTATAAAGATGCTAGTAATGTAAACTGGAATAATCTCGCTCAACCTTAGTTTCCAAAGCTCTTTGAAGCGCATAGAGATGTTATTTCATAACGTATTATGCGCTATACAAGAACTGAACTATTATTATTATTATTATTAACAAGGACTCTGGATCCAACCACAGAGATCACAGAGATCACAGAGATATTGAACCTGATAGATTGATAGCTCTTATCAAAAAGGTAACACTTATACTCAATAGATGTAATTCTATGTCAACCTAACTTGAAGAGAGAGAGGAGTAAGGTTAAAATTACAAATAATAGTAAGGTAATCCTTTGTTCTTTTGAAGCACAATTCAGATAAAAAGATATCATTACAACCCGTGAATTTATTGGTTGACCAGGGACCCGTTTCACAAAGCCCGTTTTCAATGACAAATTACAAAAATCAGTGACAAATCTGCTGATAACCAATCAGAAGCAAGGATTTTGGTAGCTAATAACAATAAACTGTCATTTGTCACTGATGACAAGTTTTGTGAAACGCCCTCCAGATAGCCATCAAATTCAGTGTAGGGTAGAAGTTACAATGATAATGGGAAAACTGGGTAACGTACCAAGAGTTTATGGGCAGCCTGAAGAGCTGGTCCAAGGGCTGTCTGTGTGTTCTTGTTATCAACAAACATGGCTGGTAGCTGGTTCAGCAACTCACATACCAACTAAGGGTGATAAAAAGACAGATAAAAATTGATAAAAATTGATAAAAATTGATCATATGTGAAAATCATTCATCCCTTATTACAATCTCTTTTTACTAACGTCAAATAAAGTCCGGCAGTTTCAAGTATTATACTTTGCCTTGAAACACATGGTGTACATTAAAAGCATCGGTATTTTGCAGCTCTGATTTACAGCATATCATATCATCTAATGTATTCCGTCTTCATGGGTATGAAGATGGTAGTCAAACAAAGGTTTGCAATTTGAAAGCTTTAGCTTTAAATTTCTGTAATGATGTTGATATCTAATTAGAAAATACCCATTATGCTTGGTTTTCTTTGGTACGTTTGGATAAACATTCATCAGTTGGGGTAAGTTAAATAATAATCAGGATTCAAATAGCTCTGGCTTTATACGGAATACGGTCTCTAAGCGCTTTACAGATACTATTACCCTGGTCATCGGAGTAATTCATGCACAATGTGCACCATTTTCCACTCCCTGGAGAGTATTCCTACTATTTGGTCACAGTGAGGACATAGGCAATTACTAACACAAATGCTTTCATCATCCTACCGGGTTCCCATTTCTCTTTTGGGTATTGAGTGGCAAATGTATATTTTAAATTGCCTTGACCTTGACCAACCACGACCTTTGAATTTCAAGTCAAGTGCTTAAAACAACTCGACTACAACACTTCACAAAATGAATTTAGTCTTACCTCTTTTGATTCTTGTATATTGACTAGAAGATCACTGGGACAAGGCAGGAATATATCTGTAAGAGGGATAAACATTTGGGGTTTGAGATAAGCATTCAGTGGCAAAAACAATCTATTAATCTATGAGAATGAGGAGGAAAAGGTATAAAATGAAAGGATGTCAATAATTTTACAATAGCTCTCTTAAAAATCCTAGGAATCCCACAGGTAGGGAACAATGCATGTAGTCCTACAATATCACAATATAATGGGTGCTATAAAAAAACAAACAGAACATTCAAATTTTTTGAATAACTCTGAAGACTATTTGATTTCTTTTTAGAATCAACCTTAATTTTGTACGCATCTTTTGAAAACTGAATTACGTTTATTTTTTATATATTTAATCTAGCTGTAGCTAGCTATAGAACCAGGACCCCCGTCTCATAAAGAGTTGATATTAATCGCAACTTATTTGTGATTGATATCAATCGCAAATATGTACATAACAGATAGGAGACTGCAAACTTGCAATTGATTGGAGGACTTGCGATTAATTCTTTATAAGACAGAGCCCAGATCTGTATTTTCAATGCGTAAGGAGAACTCACCATCAATGTCTGAGACCACCATCATCTGCGGCCTTGTTGCGCCCTCTGGTAACGAGTAGAAGTGAAGCATGCTATCGTAGGTGACAAAGCCAATCATCGTCCGCGCATCTCCGGGCATCTTGTCCAGGTTATCAATGATGGTTTGACAGACGACCGAGAGGTAACCCGACTCTATCGCACTGAACGATACGTCCAGGAGGAATAGATAAACTGCTGGCTGGGGCGGACGTAACTGTTCAAAAAAATAAGTCATGTGGAATTAGTTTTATTTCTAATGCATTTATTGATAAATCAAATATAAAACATTGAAATAACAATAATAGTATATAATATAATTGATTTACATAAAGAGTGACAACTTAAATACACACACAAAAAAATGCATATATATATACATATAATTGAAAACTTGAAATTATGGAGGTAAGTAAAATAATCAAGATAAATGTAGAGGCCAAGTATGATAAGACAATTTAATCACTGATCATTTGAAAACAACAGAGCGGTAGTCAGACTTTGTTGGAACAGAATGGCATGTCGAGTAGGAAGAAATAGACAGCTGCCTGGGGTGGACATAGCTGTCAAAAACAGATTTGCACAAGAAAATTTCATCAGGGCTTGTTTTATAATACAGATTGTGGGAGACTTGACAGTTAAAACAGATTAGCATAATAAGACAATTTTATCAAAGACTTCTGAAAGATGGAATTGCCGTAGCTACTCCATTGCAATGAGTGACACGTCTATGTGCAAGAAATAGACAGCTGGCTCGGGCAGACAACTGTCAAAAACAAGAACAGGATCAGTAATACAGGACAATTTAATCAAAGATTTTTATTTTTAAACAACAAAAGGAGTGTCATTTTCTCTTTCAAGCACAATTTAAGAGGACTGAGGAGGCCCCTTTCCCCTTCCCCTTCCCCTATTCTTGAAAGCTAAGGCAACCTACCATGTACTCTGATGGTGCTATGAATTCAATCGTTGATGACTTGATCTCTGGTCTCCGTTGGGGGTCTCCATATGTCTTAGTTACAGGGTCAAAGGTGAACTCTTCTGGTACTGAATACAAAAATAAATCACAAATAATTATTAGATAGCTGTTGAGTGTGATCACGTCAAAGTGACATGACAGATACTATTTTCAAGATTGCTGACTATAAACATGATAGCTAAATAAAGTTAAGATGAATTAATCTCATTACATTCATGAATTCTCACTATTGCATGCGGGCCAACATTTCACAGCAAATATAAGGAATCTCTCCAAGGCAAAATAAGGAATACGGTCTACTTTGTATAATTTTAAAACTGAATATTTCAGAAAAAAGAGAGAAATCTTGGGTTCAAAACAGTAGCTTGAAGACCAAAATAAAATAGGAATGGTTGGCAGCTGAGTTATCTAATGGAATAAGATATACTGATGTTACTTACAATCGTTGACTCTGAAGCATAGATTACATCTCCATCTCCTCTGATCAATGAAGGCTACAAAAGGGTTGATATACGTCCTACAAGACCGACATCGTACTATTACACTTGATTGTATAACAGGCAGATGCTGCAAAGAGAACAATTAAATAAGTATTGTTAAGTGTTCCATTTATTTAGCTGATATCATCTGTGCTAATTTTTCAATAATTCACTGAGACTTCTCGCCTCTGAATGTTAATTGGCTTAAAGAAGGTACCAGTAGTTGCACTGCGTAAATGCGAAATATAATCTTCATTTGGAAATGAGTTATCGAGACATCTTTGAACATTGCATCAACTTGAATTACATGTACATACCTGTACTCTAAGCTTTTACTAAAAATCTCTCCAAATAATAATAATAATAATAATAATAACAATATTTATAAAGCGCAACATATCCATCTCTAGAGATGCTCAAGGCACATACAAATAATTTATTACTTAGAATGTACTTAGAATGTACTGTACACGTAAATAAATATGAAAAGTTGATGACCCCATTTTTTTTTTTTTAAATGTATAAAATCACTTTAAAGCCCCAGTCCCATATAAAGCCGGACCAGCACGGACGAGCACGGACCACTCCGGACCATCCCGGACCATGGTCTGGGGTGATCCGGGATGGTCCGGGATGTTTTGTTCAAAAAATCGCAACCGCCGACCGTCTCCCCGGACCCAACACGGTACCACTACGGACCGCCCCGGACCGTCCGGGCATAGCCCCGGCAGCAGTACAGATCATTCCAGACCCAGCACGGAGCCGCCATGGACCGTCCCGGACCACCCCGGTGCCAACACGGTGCCAACACGGATGACACCGGACCATCCCGGATGGGGTCCGGGATGGTCCAGGGTGATCCGTGTCGCCACCGTGCTGGGTCCGGGATCATCCGTAGGGGCGCCGGGGTGATCCGGGGTCAATAACTCACTCCCGGACTGCCACGGATCAACACGGACCGCCCCGGCGCCACTACGGATGACCCGGACCCAGCACGGTGGCTACACGGATCACCCCGGATCAAACTATTGTCCCGGACCACCCCGGCAGTTTTTGACCGTCAAAAACATCCGGGGTCGACTCCCGGACCACCCAGGACCATCCAGGACCATCCAGGACCACCCCGGTGCCAACACGGTGTCAACACGGACCGAATCCCGGATCACCCCGGATGGGGTCCGGGACGTATATGGGACTGTAGCTTAAGGAACACTTCAAGCTTGTTCCCAATTATTCTTTATTAGTTTCACATGAAGGGGGAAGGGGGAAGGGGGAAGAGGAAATGGGAAAGGGGATAAGCCCCTGTAGCTCTACCACCTAGTCCCTTGGATAGGATACATACCGATAGATCTCTGAACGGATGGATGATCAGACCAAGAGGCAGTCGAGACTTCTGAAGCAACGATTGAGACTCAGGTATCGCATTCAAGGTGGACCGGAAAACACTGCAAGAAGTAATAAGAAACAGGTTCATAAGTACTCGTTCGTATGGTCTCCTTAGATCAAGATTAATGAAAAATTCCTAAATTATATTAAATTAAATTAAGTTCTTCCATTGCCCGATGGCTGCGATGGCCGTCTCATTTAAAAGGGCCAGGTCATAAATGCTGACAGTGAAGGATCCACAAAGAATTACATTGAAATGAACCGACAATTTTTTTTAATACAATCTATCTTCACAGTGTAAAGAATGAATAGACATGATTTATTATCAGAACATGTGCCATTGCCTACTAAGAACCCTGTTGGATACCTTGGGTGTCCTGGGGGGGGGGGGGTGTTTCACAAAGATGCTAAGTTGAACTTATCTGTAAGTTGGACTTAACAATTATGGAAAGCCATTAGCATATATGAAAATATTTTGTAATAGTTATTTTAAAAGGCATAAAATGTTGATTCAAATCATTCATGTGTTCTATTATCATGGGAGATTCCATGGTCTTGATGCGAAATTTATAAAAAGTCTAAAATATTTGAATGTTAACTTTTTGATATATTTATTTTAATGCTACAAAAGGCTCTCCGTAATGTTTAAGTCCAACTTAGAGTTAAGTTTGACTTAGGATCTTTATTAAACACCTCCTGGACTACCAAGCAATCCCCAACAGAGAGCCCTTCTATATACAATCATTGATATTTAAAGGTAAAGATAAGTTTTGGAAACGCCCCCCTCTCAAAAAATGAAATGGAAGTTGAATATTACCAATCATGTGAAAGAATGTTTGAATAATATGTGATGATACAAATTTTGCTGAGAAACCGCCTACTAATTGAAATATTTGGTAAATTATTATATCTATCTGGACCAGATAGATATCGTGCACGTGTCGCGTAGTCCCATATACATCTTTCTGAGTACAGTGCTTGTAACTTTACTGAGACTGGGACAAATTTCTTATCATTTTGATGATTCCAGAACCTTGCAGTACACACCAATACTTATATGCTAGATGATCAACCTTTTCTGATTGATTCCACAACGCTTCTTTCACAATGCAATCGCATGACCAGAACTTACTCTGGGCTAACTTGAATCTTCTGGTAGTCTGGATGTAGCTTGGGTTTAGGAGGATGGAACTCCTTAGGAGGCAGGACATGTCTCTCTTGCAGCAGATTGAGCGGTCTGGTCTCTTGCAGACGAACATTGCTCATTCCTGCGTTGATGTCGTTCATCGTCGTCTGCACATTCAAAGGGAAAACAAAAATGTACCAGGTATGCTCAAAAGTATGTCCCAAAAGACACAATTCAGTATTTTCTACTCAACATGATAGTATGAATCATACAGAATTTTGTTTCTTCTTAAAATGTTGTTTTATTTAAATTGACAATGTCATTTTAGTTAATAGATATCATTACTCGTGTTAAAGAAAAATTGCTCCTTTGTTTATCTCTATTTCCAAAGTATATTATGAAAAGACTAAATGAAAAGAAAAACTCCCAATACTTAAATCATTCATATTAATAATATTATTTTTAAAAACCCTTCTTGTCTGTTTTGCATGTTAAAATTCACATACACATTAAGAACACAGGCAAGGAACTCAGCATTTGTAAGTACCCTTTTTACACCATACAAAACAAAAATCTTTTGCATAAAAACATAAAGTAATCAGTGTTCTGGAACGTCTAGACATTAATCTTATTATGTACTATCATAACAAAAAGGAGTAAATGATATGTTTTCATATAAGAAACAAGGAAACTAAAATTTTGCAAGCATTGAAGGGACACTGAAATATTATCACATAGGAAAGCACTTCACATTTATCCACCACTGTACAACGTTAGTCATTACATCAAGCCAAAAATAAAACATGCACATCAACTAATTTTCACCACGGCACAAGGGAGAATAAAAATTAATTTAACCCTTTAGCAACTAAACCGCTCCTCCTTTTACTCACTAAACCGCCCGTCCGTTTTCAATGCGCTGTAGTATCCGTTCTATGGGGTCTACAGTGATAATGTTCTACAGAAGGATTCTGCATAGAAAAATAGCGCATGTTTCATATTGTTTAGGACAATGTCAAAATGATGATATTATGCTTATCTTCCAATGAGTAATAGGCAATTTTTACAAAATCTCTAGTTGATAATGAATTAGTACACAAAAGGAAACAATTATATGTCAGTTTCTTATGGAAAAAGCAGTTGGAGCACATGTTTTACTTATACACTGCACACTGTCACAAAGGGAACTGGTTGTAATACAAGACACTCAATCTACACCAATCACAAAACAACATAATTGCCAAGGGGTTCATCCTTTTTGCTGATGTGTTTTTCTTTTTCTTCTTTTCTTTCTTTATTTAAACCAAAGAAAAGGAAAAAAATAATGTCAAGACATGGTTTAAATTTTTGCTTAGTAGAGGAAGTCCTCTCAACTCCATTAGGTAGGTCTCATTTTAACCCCAAAAAACATTTTGGACCAATCATGTTTACAAAAAAGAAAAAGTAACATAATCTCAATTATTTCAGAAATTTACTGAAGGGTTGCCTACACCAGACGTTGTGTTTATTTTCTGTAATATTAATTATCTGTTTGCATCTGTTAATCAAAATGAGCTTGCGAGCTATTAACGGACATAATTAGACATATCAAAAGCAGAGGTTTCCACATCCAGTGTTTTAGTGCTTTGACCAAAAAACATGCAGGTTAGTACAAAATCACAAATAAAACACTTCAAAAATCAAATCATGCACGGCAACATCACATCAAACATGCTATCACTGGGAAGACCATGCACGTAAACAATCCATGCATCAACTCACTGACTCCTTCTTTATCACATTATTCAGCACCTGCGAAGCTGGCCCACTTTGACCACCCACCTGGGAAGGTTGGAACGGTCCAGGCTGCTGCTGCTGGGCGGCGTTAGTGGGCGGCTGGGCCGTACCACTGCCGGGCTGGGGAGGAGCCGAGGCCATGTAGCCGGGCTGTTGGGGATATTGCCTTTTCCCTGCAGAATGACAATGTTAATATTGAGATTTGAGAACATTGTCAATGATGGAAATTTACAATGTAAAGTTTTCCAGCCATAACACAAGATTTCATGAGCATAACACAAGATTCCATGAGGCATGAGCAAATCTTTTTTTAAACTTCATTACAAAATGACATCAATATTGTTGGGTGAATTAGAATTCCAAAATCATTCTTGTGTTTACAAAAAATAGTTAATTCAACTTTGTATGTTATGAATCATGGAAATAGTTCATACTACTAAGTCATCACTCGGTACATATTTTTGTTCCTCTGCAAATCATAATTTGTCAACACTACAGTATTTTTTGCTTTTACACCTCTAAAAGATTCAATATCACTACCCCCTCTAAACCAACGGAACAATAGTATGCTGATATAATATGAATGTGCTGAAAAAAAAATCATCTAAGAACATGGCAAAGGGCTACTGTGAATAGCAAATAATTGATCAAGAGAGGAGTTTCAAAGGATTGATGTTTGAAAATTTAAAATCAAGCCTAACAGGAAATAACAAAAGGAGGATGAGAATACATACCAGCAATGCCACTCGTCCTTGATAACTCCTGCCCAGTTGGGGGTCCTGTTGGGGGTCCGGTAGGGGGCCCTGTAGGGGGACCAGTAGGGGGACCAGTAGGGGGGCCAGGCATGTAGTTCTGCCCCATTGGAGGGGCACCGGTTGGTGGTGGTGGGCCTGTGGGCGGGGCACCTGTGTGTTGTGGTGGTCGCCCCCCTGGTGGAGGGGGACCCAGGTACTGCCCCCCTGCATGAGGGGGTGGACTGGTGTAGGTGTTGGGCTGCTGGGGGTACTGTCCTGGAGGGGCAAAGTCACCTGCAGAAGGAGGGGCACCGCCTAGACAATACATACAAAAACAGTGAAAATAATATTGAAAGTTTCAAATATTCAAATATCTTTGGGCGTTATCCTCAAGATAAGACTCTAGTCATGACAGCATGCAGTACACATTTTTTTTTTCTTCAAATTTTTCAAGTTTTTCAAGTTTCACTTGCTATTACTTTCATGAAAACAAAATGACTTATAATCTTTTTTCCGTATTTTAATGAGGAAATATGTCATTCCCTTGTTGGTAACAGGCTATCTGCTATTTGTAAAGAATTTCTTAAAGTTTGTAATGTCCTATGAATTTATAAATCAATACACATCAGTTCCGCTGTTGTTTTAACCTGCTAAATATAAGCCTGAGAAAACTGGAGGAAGAATGAAAATTTCTGACATGACAAAACCAATTTTTTTTTAATCCTTTTTCTGATATGAAATTTTCACCGAACAAAGTTTACATACCTTGTGAATTAGGGAAAAATGGAATACCGCCCTCTAAGTTGTCATATTGCTGAGATGGGATGGGGGAAGGTGCTGCCGATGACCTAGCTGAAGGAGGACCTGCATGGGATGTCAAAGGTCATAGAATGTATAACAAACTAAGAATCTTCTTAGGCATAGGAAAGAAAATACTACATGTATGTTTCACTTAATAAATGATCAATCACAAAAAGTATATATTTTGCTCTGAATATATCAGATTCCGTGTCAGATATATAATCAATTATCAGCTATACGTGTGACTTCTTTAAAAGAAACTGAACTTTTGAATACTCTCTAAATGAAGGTCAAATGGATTGTGCTTAGACTACTCAGCACATCCATATGCCGAGCAAAAGCATGAAAACCGGTCCAGTGCGAATGGTTTTTCTCTCAACTTTTTTTAACACTCCTTAACCGTTCAACCGTTCAACCATAGAATTTTAGGTACAATGTAATGGTATATCTAACTTGATTTTGTTTGTACTATATATATATTGTAGCTGTACACAAATCATTTGGGTTGATTGATTGCACCCCTTTAAGCGTTTCTTTTCTACTTTTTTCTATACACAATTTTTTTAAAAGAATTTGGTGAAAACAGAATAATCATACAAAAAAAATATGAAGAAAAACAAATTGAAATAAAAGCAAGAAGTGAATATTAATTCAAATATAATACAAACATGTCACAATGAAAATACACATACATGTACACTACACTTTCTAACTTATTTTGATGGTTAGCATCTAAAGTTGAAAGGAAAAATATTCTAGAAAATGTTAATCAATAGGAATTAGGAAAGAAAAAATGGCACATAAATTTGACAAAAAAAGAGAGTGATAACATTCAGCTGTAATGTCATGACAAAAATAATCAAAATCTTGATGTATCAGGCCATTCCAAATTAATGTAAATACAAGGTTTGAAGAACCCGTGGTGCCACATCACTATCCTGTTGGGACTATTGTGATACATTACTAAATTCATTACTAAAAACGATAATAATGAAAAATGAATCTATAGACATGATCCAAAGATAAACAAACACCACTTCATAATTTGACAATTTTTTTCTTCACCAGTAGTCATGAAAATCAAAGATTAAAGAAGAGTAAAGAAACAGGTTAATGCACATTTTTTTTTTAAACAGAAGAAGAATTCAACTCTTCCATTGGCAACATGGGGTACAGTACAGTGTAAAAACAACAGATGACATTGATATCTTCCTAAAAATTGTAATTTGGGGGTTCTCCAATTCACAAGGTGTCACTGCATACATGTACATAACACTTCAAGAATGAAAGAAGCAAAGAAATACATACATGTACATGTGTGGCCAATTTGAAGAGCCGAGCTCTCAGGGCATTCTGCCAATAAGGATATCCTTTTCCCCCAAAGTATTATTTACATTATATACCGACATGTGTACACAGTTCAAGAACGATTGTTTGAAGACACAATTTGGCACTAACCAGCCTCATTCACTAACTATCTAAAGAGAAACTGCAAACTGGCAACTCCAATCATTTCTTGTTCACTTAATATAATGACAAGATAACTGATACCATGATCTTTTGCGATACTGCCCTTGGCCGATTAATCCTGTATTGTATTTCACAACATGTAGCGTACCAGGTCAATGGGTAAGCTTGAAATGAGCTTGAAATGAGCTTGAACCGAGCTTTTTAGATCACTTTCATGCAAGAGATTAAATGACTGCTACCAGCAAGAAAGATAATTTTCTAATGCAAACTGCTAGAGACAGAAGACTTTTCAACATGAGTGAAGTATACGTATACAAAAAGGAAGATTGTTTTCATGTTAAAGGTAAAGACCAGTTATGGTCTGCGATTGCATTGTGAAAGAAACGTTGTGGAATCGATCAGAAAAGGTTGATCATCTAGCATCTAGCATCTGCAAGGTTCTGGAATCATCAAAATGATAAGAAATTTGGCCCATTCTTCGTAAAGTTACAAGCACTATACACAGAAAGATGTATATGGGACTACCCTATATCTCTCACAGACCATGAGAGAAACAAATTTACCAAATATATGAATTAGTAGGCGGTTTCCCGGCAAATTTTTTATCATCATGTATTAGTCAAAACAGATACTTTCAAATGATTGGTAATAAGAGCTTCCATTTCATTTTTTGAAATTGGGGCGTTTCCAATACTGGTCTTTACCTTTAATGCAAAATGTACTCACGTACATGTATATGATGATATCATCTCATATTTGATATTGTTAAACGATGCCGTTAAGAAAGTACACATGTATTACATGTACATATATGTGTGTTGCTCTATTTTATGTCTTGCTCGAATGAGCTCAGAGTCACTGGAGAACAGTGAAAAACTTGTGCCTGTAGGGATATATTTCTCCTGGGCCAAACAACTTTTTTGCCACGTACAGTACAAGTACTTTACATGTGTGTACAAATCTATACTGTTCTTTACTACAGCAGTGTTGGAAAGATGAATAATATTGAATGAGCAGCACGTATGTCGAATCTTCTATGGTTGAATCATGATGACTCTGAGGCTTTGATTTCCAATTAAAATTCACATAAGCTCTTTAAAACTACATACTGCACATGTAGGACACTTGACAAACACAAAACCAAGCTGTATAAGCTGTAGAGAAATGAAAGGAACCCAGAAAAGAAAAAGAAACCAAGCTCAAAGGTTCCAGTGCGAATAATACTATACAGACATGTACAGAACTACAGGTAACTGCAAAAGAAACTAAAGCTTCTATGAACTACACCTGTACATACATGTATACATGTAGAGCTAAAACTGCATGATACTAATATGCTCTAAGTAAAGGATGGGAAGGATAGACGAGAATTGCCACACGATGCGAATCAATGAAGAAACAATGGAAAATAAAAACGATATATGATTTATGCAATACCTGATCCACAAGGCGAGGGAGTGCCAAGCAGGTCCCAGGTGGGGGATGGTGACATGATTTCCACATGGGGGCGGGGCAGGGAAACAAGGGAGGAGCTGGAGGCAGACTTATGCATGGGCGGGGCAGGGGGAGGGGCCAGACCTAGGCCTGGGGGAGGGGCTAGGCCTGCCCCTGGGGGTGGGTGCTGGATGTAGGGTGTGGCTGAGAGGTGGAGGGGGGAGGGGGAGGGGGAGGGGGAGGGGGAGGGGGAGGGGTGTGAAATAAAATAAATGAAACAAACAGAAAAAAATCATGATAATATATTGTTATGTAAAGCAGAGGTAGGCGTTAACATCAACCAATTTCACAAACTTTTGCTACATGACTTTTTGTGTGTACAGTATAGATGCAAGTCAATTTTACACAATTAGGTCTACTTGTTTTAAAACCCAACAAATATATTACAACAGATGCGTGTTAATAGTTTGCAGTCTCTCTTTTATACTCCTTTCAAGAACTGGATATGAAATATTATTTTGGTAATCCACATTGGGTTTTTTTTTCTTCTTTAAAACACTAGAGTATTGTATTAAAAAGACAAATGCCATCTTATAAAACATGCTTTCAACAGTTTCCACACAGTTACATGTATGTACATGTACCAATATTGAGATCCAAGCAGCTGAAATTATTGACTTTGATAGCCTGTAAGCAAATTTGATATAGATTTGTGGCAATCAAATACCTTTTTTAAGAACAAGAGAACTGTGGGAATTCAAATACCATGAAAATCAATACTTTACAAGCACATACAGTGTACACATGCTGAAGGGACCAAGCTATACCAACTTGTATCTTTTGGTCCAGGTATTAAGGTGCGTTCACAAGTGACACAGCAAAAACCACAGCAATTTTTTATTTAAATGATGAAGTAAAGTGTTTTTAATATTTCTTAGCCTATAACACAGAGCTCAGTCCTTTGCTGTGCGCGGTAGCCATACATTTACATGTTTAAAAATCAGTGCAGCATTTTTGCAGCGGTACCACACCCTATCTGAACATGCCTGTTAAGTGAGGGATTGCAAATATTGTACATGCAAATGCAGTACTTATTTTTCTCTCTTTAACATAAATCAAAATTGTAAAGAAAGAAAAACAAACTTTGACCTTACAGATGACCTTCACAATGAAAAAAATTGTCTTTTACATACATGTACTTAACCATCAATCTAGGGTTACACAAATAGACAAAAATAAGCAGACAACTTTGTTTGCTTTCAAGATCTAGTGGATTCAAGAGTATTTTAAAAGTACCTAATAACATTCCTATATTAACTGCCTACATGTATGTACATGTATAGGCTACACCCCTCAATTTGAAAAGACATGAGACGACTTCTTGCTATTTCTTGCCGTTTATCTACTCAAACTTATTATATTCATTTATGTACTTTTGAAACAAAAATTACTTACATGTGTTCAATTACACAACAAACCAAGAATTTGTTCATTTTCGTACATTACGAAATAAAGACCATAAGTTGAGCTGTACACTGTACATTACTTCACATGACAGGACATGCAACTTAAACTTACGTTGTTAGTTGGAAAGGAAGGATTTCATTAATCCAAATTGCAAGCCATCACAAACTAATCTGATATCATTACCTTAATCTACAGTTCTACACATTAAATCCCTCATAAATCTCCTTTATGTATAAAGCATGACTGCATGAGTAATCAACTAAATGTGTCTTAGAATAGCTGTAATGGATACATGCATGCCCTGTATATATGTGTTTGTTTAATTATTTAGTTGAGTTGCTTATCTTAGGTTCAGATACATGAAGGTGTACTTGTAACCCTATCTGAGTACATGTAATGTACCCGTAGTAATATTAGCTTTTGCCTAAACTAAAAAGTAAGAATACAATTGAATGCCAGTAACTACCACTGAAGTTAATGACTTCTGAGGCAAAAGCTCCATCACAGAAGCGATTAACATTTACATGAACTTGTCTGTAAATCCCACCCATCGGTAACTGCTCTGGCCACTGTAGAAGATATCGATTAAGAGTAAGACCTTTTCTACAGCACATGCTTCAGCGACTTTTGCTCTTTTGTAATCCTACAATTATAACCATATTTCCACTTTCAACCCTAAACCGTATACATGTACTGTAATCAAACCTAGCCCTAAACCTGAAGCTTCATTGCAACTTGATCCTAATCCCATGTTGACCATAAAGCCCACAGCAAATGTCTGGTCACCACTAAGAGGTAAGGAGTAGAAGTGCGAACTGAAAACATACCTGCCAACGTATGAAAAAAAAAAAAAATAGGAATTTCTAGCACGCTATACGCGAACTCTCAAATTGCAGGCACGTAATAACACAAGCTAAATTTGGCTTTGAAAAAAAAAGGGTCTTTCAGAATTTTGACAAATCTGAATATTTTGAATTATTAGGCCCTAAAAATCCGGAAAATCTCAACATTCTGCATAATTCGGAAGGGGTTGGCAGGTAAGCTGATGTGTACAAAGCGCACAGTCTCTTATTTTGCTGGGGTTTAGGGCTCACTCGACTGGATATTCATTCACCTGTCACTAATTTGCAAACCAATACAAACATAAATATAATAAAAACTCTGGTGAACCACACCGATAAAAGAACATGTACCTGAAATCTGGAGATTTTAATGTTAAAGGTTAGATACTGTATCACTTTCAACCACAGCACAGCAAAATTTGTTCTGAATTCATATTTTCAGACGAAAGAAGACCAAGAAAGTCAAAGTTACTATTATTAGTACTGTACATCACTGGGTTAAATATAGCATGCTTTCATGCCTATCAAGACAGTGAAAAAAATACACGGGGGCTCAGGGCGAATTTGCCCCCGAAATGCCTAAAACAGCCCCCGAAAATCAGAAAAGAGCCCCAGTAAATTTGCATAGAGTTCAATGCAAAACAAATTTTAGAGTGTTATTTTTATGAAGGCAAGCTTGAAAAGTAGCCCCCGAAAAATATATATTAATTTTTTCCCTGTATCAAGACAAATGGATGTGGAGTTATGGATGTGGAGTTATAGCAGTGGAAGCAGGATTCTCCCCATTGCACAACATCCTCTATGCTAATACCAAGTGTGTGAGTGTGTGTGTGTGTGTGGGAGGGGGGGGGGGGGTCCTGAAAAAAAATGCCAAGAGCAAATGCTCCCTGATAAGTGTCCCGACAAAAATAATAAATATGTCTATGCATACTTGCAATAAATGGTTTGGTTCTCCTATACCCTCTCCCTGGAATGCAATTTGGGCACTTTCACAGTTTCACTCCGTCTTGAGAAGACCGAGTGAAAAAGATCATGAGCCAATTATACATGTACTTACAACACCTACATGTACATGATTTATGAATGCAGTTCAGATTCTCAAAGTAAAACTCACCTGATGAATTTAAACTAGCATTCAGATCACCCGCAGAGCTGGGTCTATCCTGTTGTATCGTCGGGGGAACCTGAGCAACAGGAAGGGGTATAGAACCCCCAATGGGTGGGGTCCCACTTGGAGGGGGGCCAGAGTTTGGTAGTCTCTGCGTTGGAGCTTTAGTGGTAGGAGGGGGGCCACCGCTACCGTTTGGAAAAGAGTTTGTCATGGCCCCGCTGGAAGGGGCAAACCTATTGTGTGCATTCGAAGAGAAGCGACTCGAAGGAGGCCCAGAGGCATGTGGCCCCGGGCCCGCATGAGGTCCCGCTACCCCATTGGGCGGAGCAGGCCCAGGTTGATAACTGGATGATGGTGGGGATGGACCAGTTCTATAATTAGATTGCTGTCCTGTTGATACAGGCATATGTCCTACAGGTGGCCCTGCGCCTGGGAGGGGCTTTACGCCATACTGATTAGCGCTTGTAGAAGGTGGTAGAGGACCACGAATTAGTCCTTGACCAGTCCTCTGCTGACCGTCCATCATTTGGCCAGGGTACTGTGGTCTAGGACCTCCTGATACAGGAGGTCTGTACATTCCTGTGGGATTCATTCCTGGACCTGCATTCGGTGGCCCCATGTTCCCTGGAGGAGGCGGTCCCATGTAGTTTGACGGCGGCTGTTGCATTCTAGGCTGCATGTTGTTCGGGTTGTATCCCCCTGGGGGTGGAGGACCTGGTTGCATCATAGGGTTGTATCCCCCCGGTGGTGGAGGACCAGGCTGTTGCATTTCTTCACTTACTCTATAACGAAAAGATCATAAAAACAAGGGAAACAACAAAATACCACCGTTAGTAATATTACTTTAACAATCTATAAAAACCTGTGGCATAAAATGAAATTGATTTGGAGTCAAAGCCCCCCCCCCCCCCTCTACAAAATAAAAGTATTGAATTTATCTTTCATCTGCCCTCCCCCCCCCCCCCCCCCAGCTTTCAATCATATTCTACATGTGAAAGTACGGCGTGAGGTGTCCTTGTGCCAGTATATATAAAAAGAAGATAGTCTTATTAGAATCATCAGCGAAAATCAGACAATCTTTATTTTCGCAGACGAGTCTGTCCGCGTTTACGAAATTCCTCGTTTATGCAGATGATCCTTATTCTCGGATCACCCTAATGTTGACAATGACATGTTGAGTGGTAGACCTACAAGAAGAACACATCATTCATGATCAACTTCTTCTTCTTCTTCTTCTTCCTCCGCTCTATCGGAGATCAGTATGAAAGTCATGATTGAAACTGGAATCCATTGAAACTGTATTTCAATAAATGTCAAATGTTGAATGTTCCACGACACTAAGATCTGTAAGACTACAGTAAGATTAAGAACTCATAATTGATATCAAGTTATATTCTGATAATATTATAATTTTATTGCCACCAAAGTCAAGTTTGTTACCATCCACACTTTACTATTCAGTTCAAAGTCAACTAGTTTCAATGATTGAAGTTGAACAACACAGGTCAAGAGACACGACTTACGAGTGACTCACATTCTCAACTCTCACAACAGTGCACAGATTGACTGATCAGGCTGATTCGACTTCACAAATTCTGCCATGAATGGTAAAACTGATCTTGTTAAAGTCTAGACTATTGTTAAATTATACCATTTTAAAAGCTTAAACAACTAAATCTACGTACCACTAACACATCTGACTATCAATATTAGAGTAGACACAGTGAATAGACTTCAAATGGCATGCAATCTGCTTTATGCCACAGTCATACAAAGTCAATGCATTGGTCATCCACGTAAAAAAGTCGCGATCGCTCGGTCAGCTGCATAGACTAGACGGGTACACGGATTCAATCTAGCCAAGAGTTTCCCCGTAAGTTGTACGTGTACTTGCGATAAGCCAGTCGGGCGGTGGTGGCGTACATGTAACTTGCATGAACCGGATGTAATTGTTACAAAGAGGTGAGAGGGCAACAGACATGCGCTGTCAAGGTGCGAGTTTCAACGTGGCAGTACCAATTTTAGGGGTGCCTGTACCTATGGAATGACGTGGACTCGTCAAAATTAGTATTCTGTGTGTAAAAAAGTGAGAAAAAAAAGAAGTATACAAAACGAGAAAAGATTAAAGTATTTTTTTCTGCAGAGCCTATGTCGAACTATGAAAAATAGAAGGATACAAATCAATGATTGATAATAATGATAATGATAACTAAACATTTAATACTTAATTGTTATGGAACATTAAGGACAAATGCCCCACCCCAAGGACAACCAAGCACAACTACTCATAAAACATTTAACCCCCCCACCCCGCCAGAAATTCCTATGTAGGGCCAGGCGCGTAGAAAGGGGGGGGCGGTGGGGGCAGTCGCCCCCCCCCCCCCCCAAAAAAAAAAAAAAAAAAAAACGCCGGCCAAAAACAAAAACAAAAAAGAGAGAGAGAAAGAAGAAAGGAAGAGGACGTAGGAAGAAGAAAAAAAGAGAAAGAAGAAAGGAAGAGGACGTAGGAAGAAAAAGGATTACGAGTCTAGAACGGTATACGAATCGTCTTCTTTCTCTAAGAATTGAATGAAACGTCAAAGCATCCGCGCTTCGCGTGGTAGGGGGGGGGAACTGAATTCAGAAAAGGATTAAAAGTCGAGAACGGTACAACGAATCGTCTTCTTTCTCTAATAGTTTAATCATGGACCCTAGTAGGGTCCATGGTTTAATGAAACATCTTCCGCGCTTTGCGCGGGAGGGGGAAACTGAATTCAGACAGGGATTAAGACTCGAGAATGGTACAACGAATCGTCTTCTTTCTTTAATAATATGAAACGTCAGAGCTTCCGCGCTATGCACGGAGGAAGGGGAACTTGATTCAAACAAGGAGTTGAGGCCTACCAAGAATGCCCTTATAGAACAGAATGTCATTTGGTTCATGCAGGTTGGAGGTGTCCACGTCTCGTATTCACTTGACTCACAATCCAAGGCCGGTTGACGGCTCGAATCCCAGATAGTTATATGCTCTTTGACAAAATTCTCTCCCAGGGCCCAGGTGTAAATGAGAATAATATAGAATATATAATCTATTGTCTTCTTCCATGCCAAACAAAAGAAGAAACTTCCCATCCAGGTGAAGCATATTACATTAAACAAAAAATATATAAGTACATTCAAATCAAAATATGCATAACAAGTATGAACAGATAAATAATATAATACAAATAACAGAACCTAGTACTCTTTCACTCTCTCTCTCTCTCTCTCTCTCTAAAAAAGAGATTTTTCACTCTATTTTCACTTTCTTGGGAGTGACGTCAGGGATCACTTGTTTAGGAGTGAATATCGATTGATTTTAGAGTGCTCTCTAAGAAGAAAAGAGTGATTTTCACTCTATTTTCACTCCCCAGAGGAGTGACGTCAGCGATCACTCGATTTTTGTTGTTGAGAGAGTAAGGATAAATGGAAGAAGACTATAAGGAAGAAAGTGAGAAGACTCAAGAGGGGATTAAAAGAAAATGTAGCCCCGGGGACTGAAGTAACTCAAACAACACCCCGTGACCCCCCATTCCGGGCTTCACTTTCCTTCAAACAAGTGACGAAGAGACAGAGAGACTAGGGAGAGACGGAGAGAAATGGAATGAAGGGGGAAAAGAAAAAAAAGAAACAAAAATAACAGAAAGAAAAGAAGAAAAGAGAGAGTCAGGAGAAGGAAAGGGGGAGAAAGTATATTAACAAAAAGAGGTTTACAAAGATATGGGAGGGCAGCTGCATGCATGCACTGCTCCTCGTGCACGGGAGGAAAAGTACTCAAAGTGATAATGAGTAGATATACCTGGCAAATGCAGGGGTAATTGCAAGATCCGCAAGAAATGTGGCTACCCTGGGTAAATAAGACACCATTTAATAATTACACAGGCTTTCACGTGACTTTTGTCAAAACATTTCTTTTTCGTTTTCACGCTTGCGTGAACTTCTTAAGGTATTATTGGTCTTTAATACCTTTCTCGCAGGCACTTCGAGATCATAATGGGCTGACCATATATAGTCCAACACTATTGTCACTCATCAGGAATAGTATTTTTTCTGAGAAAAGGGATAGAAAATACTTCAGGAGGCTTCGTCTTTAGACTTTTCTCATATCCTAATGAAAACTGCGAATCACTCTAAAGGTGAAAAAGGGGAAAGAAAACTGAAGAGAGTTATAACTTTATTTGCATGCCTGCTGGCCAGGGTGCTTGTTTGTGATGCTTTTGGAATAATAACACAAACCGCATTTTTTTTCTCAAAGTCAGATAGAAAGCCAGTAGTTGTACCGTATAATAAAACCATGTATATTTAAAAAAGAAAGGCTATTTCACAACTTGATTGCGCAACCCTATTTCAAAAGCACGTTTTTGATTGAACAACAGTATCGGGACAGTTACTTTTTATAGGAGTGGCACCGAATACGATGGTTCAGTGAACTTTTTGCCAATGAATGCTGTGAACAGATAAGTCATGTTCTGATTGGACAGTACTCTTCCTTCAGAATATGCGATTTTGATTGTACATCGACGTACATCGATTGAAATTATTTCAAACTTTAACAAGTTAGCAGGTCTTTTTTTATTGTTTAACCTCGTTTGGGAATTATTGTGAGATCAGCTAAGAAGAAAGCATTGAATTACTTCCAGCAGAATCAGATACTAAAATGAAAAATAGGTTTTATGTCATTGCATTGAATGGAGATTCCATGATATTTCGTTGTTTTTATTGACCAATAGGAAACGCTGTTAGTTAATCAGCTGTTCGAGGGATGACGTCAGCACCATAGTCAACCATATTGTAGTTCCTGTCATCAGATTGTGTACGTAGCCGGAGCGAGAAGCCGTTGAATGACGCAATTTTTCCCATAGAAGTAAATATTGTGATTTTATATTGTTTTTATGCTATGTGTGAAAGTGGTCGAATGAAATTAGATCAATTGTATGATATATTATTTTGAGAAAATGTTAAATGTGTCAAAATACGCCCCTGTTACGACGACGGGCCGGTGTTTTCACTCCTGCGGTGCGTAACCGATGATAACGTTTGAATGAACGACATTGACATCTTAAATTGTGTGGGCTGTGCCGTAGCGCTAGCAGTGTACGTGTGTAGCAGCACAAGTTCCATGGCTATTTCTCGAGTCGGCTATAACTAGGGCAAGATGATGCCTAGACCCCTACTTAAATTGGCACCCATTACTCATTCCTGGCCTGCGTAATCGAGTGATGTAAACAAAACCTAGTAAATGTTAATGTGTTGGTAATTGGGTCGCTGGTCCGAGAATAAGGATCGTCTGCATAAACGCGGACAGATGTGTCCCCCATTTCGCTAAGGATTCTGATTTCAGGTTCGCGCGTTGGCCATGCGAAAATACGGATTCCGCATTGATTTTCATGATGCGATTCATGCTACATGCTACAGAGACTTTCACGCTATGAGTAGGGTGTCTGATCGCGCACCCGATGTTGTGTGCTAAAATTCTTCCCATAGAGATTACACGCATCCCTATGCAGCCTACGTGCATTGCGCGACCATGCAAAAAAAGTCAAAATTTTTTTTTCAAATCGAGATTCAAACCTTTATCAGTTGTGATCCTGAAGGTGATAATCAATGAATGAGGTGTCATATGAAAGAGCAGGTGAATTCCAATATTTCCAAAGGGGCGTAGCCCCCGAAATTCTAAAAATATCTTGGTCAAAACAGCAATTTAAACATTGTGTCCTGGCTAACTCTGAGGTTTGTCACTTTTGAGATATGACGCCCCGATCGATAAGTAGTCCCAGTCCTAAGGAACAATTCTATGTGATTATATTTTCGCTAGCCCCCAGGGATCACAACTGATAACAGTTTAAAAATACCCTTCTCGCTATTTGGTGGATCAGCTAATTAGGAGGCGTGCGCTCCGCTCAGTCCAAACCATGGTTACATCGCGTAACATCTCCGCGCACGAACGAAACCCCAAATTCAATTACACGTTATAGTGACTGAAATTATGGTTGGCAATTCCCTCGATAAACCCGGAAGTGAATACACGTTATAGTCAATGGCAATATCGCGGAGACAACGTGCGTTGTCTCCGCGATATTGCCATTGACTATAACGTGCATTCACTTCCGGGTTTATTGTGCGACGAACGCCAACCATACTAGTCAATCGCACATGTCGCGGAGACAGCGTAGCTCAAGCTGCAAGTCGCGGATTGGCTTAGCAGCATGCGTACGATATGCATACGCTTGCATATCGCGCGATACAGCTGTTTGGCTAAATTTAGCAAAACAACATCACTCTGCGTGGACGTCTTTTTCGTCGATTTTGACCAAAATGATATGAATATACCAGCGTGTTGGAGGGGCTGTAACTTTTGATAGAAACATCGGTGAGACTTGAAATTTGAAATGTATTATTCTGATAACATTTTTTATTCAAATATCAAACAAAAATGGTGAAAAACGATCCCAAATTGAAAATTGAAAAATCGTTCAGACACCCTACTATGAGCGATAAATCCTCAGGAAGACGAACAACCCATACAAATAGACAGTGAACTGGGGGTATTTTTTTATGCGTAATCCGTTTTTCGCATTGCCAGTGCGTGGATCGGGAAACCGAAACCCGCAGAACACCGAAGGAAAAAAACGTCCGCATTTTAGGTCACATTTTGTCAGCGTTTACAAGGATATCCTTGTATATGCGACGATCCTCATTCTCGGACCAGCGCTCCTACTGGTAATCATACCTTCCCAAGTTCTTGCCTGGCTTTGCGCTTCAGAGTTCGCTAGTGCAGTCATGGACTCTTCATTTTTCTTTCTGATACAAAGCACTTGGAAATCGGTTAAGAATTTTAACCAAAAATATGAGATAATGATACTTGAGTGATAGCAATTTGCTTACCTACCAGGTTTTCCTGATGATAATTAATTTAGGGTGCGTTTTACATTGCAGAAATGCTGACCTCTATGATGAGAATTTGCGATGTTGGTTCTGGCTAAAATGCAAATAACTGTTTTTGTGTTGCTTAATTAATACTTTCTTAACGATAATAGCGATAAGTTTAGTCTACAAGGGCGCAAGCAGGGAGTTCCTTTAATTTGCTAGCACATAGTTTGCTGAATTTAAGAAACTCCATGCGTGTGCCTTTTTTTTTTTACACAGGCAATCGTTTGGCTCAAATTGAAATTGTGATAAGTAGATTCCTCATAAAATTTTCTATTTTTGACCATTTGGTTAAATTCACTGTTGCTGGTAGTTATGTTTTCATAACACTTTTTGTTATATGTACGATCCATACATAAAACAAATGGGCTCCTGACCTCATAGGGGCAAGAATTTAGCTGGTAAAAGCTTCCTTGTTGTTGGTGTTGTCTCATTTCTCCTTTTGTAAGCTAAATATCCAATATGGGAGAAAGTCAAATGGGAGAGAGTCTCCCAATTCAGCGATGCAGCTCTACTAATATCTAGTGAAATTGTGATAGAGACAGGCGGACAAAAAACCCACAATTAACAAAAAAATTATCATGCACTTTTGTTACTTCTCTAGCTACATTAAGATCAATAGATCCTTCTGTGGCTTGTGCACTAAAAACACACTTTCTTTTTCAATGGAGATCATGAAATTTGTGAAAGACAAATTGGAACCTAGTCTGATCAGAGTGGCAAAGAGAAGTCTGAAGATTTTCATGACTGAAGTAGGAGAATAACAAGGTTATGATTGTTTACAGGGAAATATTATACTGTCATGATGATGACTTAGCACTTCTCTGATGTCAAAGGCAAAGTCCAGGTTTACACTTCTCAGACTTTTGTTCATAACATCTTGCGAAACGTGTGGTGATTCATATCAGAGCAGTATCTTGTTGTACATGTAGCTGATGTATACATTTGATTTCGCTATATTTTTTCGTCATTGCAAATAATGACCATTTGTTTTTATTTCTTCTTCTTTTCCATCAGATTTTAGACACATTCACCAAAGAAGATGAGTTTTATATGGAGCGGTTGGAATTATTTTGTAGAAACTTTCACGTCTATACTGAAAGGTTTAGGTAAGTCATGCATCTTATACATTTCCTAATTGATATTTAACTGAAGATCTATCTGGTGCTCTGCAATTGGTTTTCTATTTAAACGACTTGAAATTTATATTCAATGAAGTGTGATGAAGGGGTCAGATGTCAGATGCCTTTTGTAGCCAAGAGTACTTGAAGAATAAAAATTAAGAATGTGACATGTTGCAGACAAGTCTGTCAAAGTGCAAGTTTCAGTATATGAAATAAAAAGTTTTGTTAATTAACTTTTACACTTGGTGTGGAAGATAGCAAATTAACTTTTCTTAAAGATACTATGTCCCATTTGCAGGCCCAAAAAATGAAAAAGTTAAATTCCAACTGCATTTGAAAGATAATACTAATTTAGAACTTCCCTAAAAAAGGTGGGGCTTGAAAATGTCTTCAAGTGGGAAAATAACGACTATTAGTTGTCAAATCGACTCTAGGGCTATAGAGCCCAAAAGTAATAGTCTTGATTTTCAGACAATCGTACCGAATGGTCATACGTTTTAAGCTGCGCAAAGATTCAATCAGTTTAATCTTGGCCATCACAAGAAGTGGGTTATTGTTGTAGACAAATGCTCATGTACCCTTTACAACTCTTTTCATGTATGTTATTACCAATGAAGAAAAAAAGCCAGTCAGTCACTCAATAGTGTCTGACAGTGAAGTCTAGCAAGTAAACAGGTTTCCTTGCATAATTTGAATATGAGGACACTGCTAACGTTTAAATTTCACAGATAGGACATACATGACACATTCATAATTCCTGCAAAGTTCTACAGAATTTGAGGTTGGCTGCAAAAGGGACATAGTACCTTTAAGGCTCGTTCAGATATGACAGAGTAAACCACGTTTAAACGTGTAAATGAATGGCAACTGCGTGCAACAAAGGTCCGGGCACCTATCCACTGCACTCTGTGTTGTAAGATGTATAAATTTGAAGCGTAAATATTACACTTCAAGTCATCATAGACACCAGGCGCAGTTTTGCAGTACGATATGTGAACAAGGTTTTACGATCACAGTGCTTAGAAGTATATGGTAACTAAGGCCTTGTTCAGATATGACACTGCCAAAAAGCACCGGTTTATAATGATGTGAAATACAATGTCACCCATTACTCAGAATGGGTGGTATTGTCATAAGTTAAGCCGGGACTAACAGCCTTTTCACACACAGCTAAAATTCATCGTATCTAGTGATGATTAGAATCATCGTAAAATTTTAAACATGTTTATAGACAAAATTTCCCAGTGTGAACATCGTTTATACGATGTTGGGATAGATACGAAGTCGCGATCCATACGCCCCTAAAAGCAGGCTGCAGATACGAAGTTCGTATCTAGAGAGCTTGACATTTTGTGTGTGAAAGGAAATTCTTGTTTAAACGTGTTTAAACTGGATGGAGCGTGCGCTTTGATTGACATGACATGACCTTCAATGCGCAATGGCACTACTGCGCATTTTACGAGCAGTAGTTAATCACGAAACAATTAACGATCGCACCGAAATTTCTGTGTGTGAAAGGCTCGTGAGTAGTTTAAACACGTTCGAAACACGTTTATACTAGTCATGTTTATAGAATTTTAGCTGTGTGTGAAAAGGCTGTATGTCCAGACTAAACAAGAATTTTAGTTCACACTTCTATGGAATGCTAGGTGTCATCTTCCTCCTTCAACATTCATGACAAAGATAATCTACCAAAGACTTTGTTGAAATTCAGTTTATACTCATATTATCTTTTTCTTCCCATTACATTGCAGAATTAATTTTTGGAACACTTTTCATTGAAGGATTAAAATAATCTGTACAGGGTAAATGAGTTGGCAACAGGCACTCCATAAAAGTGTGGATTAGTACCAGCTATCGATATACCACCCAATGTATCACATCTCCTCTCACTCCGAATCTAAAACAATCACTGGTCTTCTGCCAACTTTTCTCATTTATTTGCTAAATCAATGAACATTTAAGTCAAGATCAGCTGTTCAAGTAGGCAACGTTCAACTAATCAAGGTCAAGTTTTTGGGTTACATAGATAGGACGTTGCTGCCAAAAATAATAATAATAACATTGCTGGGTTCTGGTATAGCACTCATGTCTGTCAGACTAGAGAGTAGACACTCCTGGTGCTCTACAATTGATACAAAGTTCAATATCACTTTCATGGATCATTGTAAAATGTAAACAACTGCAATATACATGTATAAGTTTTCTTGTCAAAGAATTCAATATTCCACGTTTTATGAAAAGATACCGGTAGATTCTTTTATTGATCCATATTAAAAACATAGAAAATTGGCCTCCACTGGCAGCACATAAACAAACAAAATATGATGTACAATGTAGTTACAAAATAATTGATAAACACTTGGGTGTATACGTCACATAATGTACATAAATTCACACAAGAGTCATGTATGACATTAAAAACATTTTTTTTATTATTAATAAACATACTGGTACTGTAATCATACCGGTACAAACTGGAACTCACTTGTTATATTAGGTAGTAATACTAAAGCGAGCGTGGCCTGTAATGTAGTATTGGCGTGGCATGCTTTTACTACTTACTGTAAAAGTTCCATATGACTTGTACACGGGCAAAGTTCAACAACACTTTCATGGATTATTGTAAACAACTGCAATACATAAATGTACTTGTAAACGAATTCAAGATTCCAAGTGTTGAAGATTATGTTGAGATGAAGAGTATTTTTTGTTTGCAGGCATTTTACCAGAGCTCTTTTGAAGCTTTTTTAACAACTAAATCGCTCTCCACTTTTTTATATTCTTTCCTCTTTTCCTTTATGCAAGGCCTTTCTGTTTCTGAAAATGTTATGATTTAGTTGAAACAAATTCTCTATTCTCTTATTCTCTATTTTGCCAGGACTATGGGGCAAGACAGGCAGATTAGTATTTCTGGGATTAGACAATGCAGGCAAGACGACGTTACTCGCAGTCTTAAAAGATGACAGAATGGCCTGCCATGTACCAACATTACATCCAAGTGAGTATATTGAACCAGGGCTTCAATATATCGGGGGTTTTAGGGGCTGTGGACCTTTTCCAATCCTGAGTAAACTCCAAAATTCCAAATTATAAGTATTTTCTATTCAGATATTTATTTTCTTTTAAAAATATTGGAATAACCCAATAATATCCTAGTCACACCAACAAGACAGACACCAGACCAAACAAATTTTATTACCAATATTATCAAGAAATGTTCAGTTTGCGGTCAGAAAAGGAGTTGCCGTGGCTGTGTATGACTGATCTATTACCAAGAGAAATTTAGAAATCCTACCCCAAGTGACATTCATATCACTACAGTTCGAAACTGAGAGATTTTAAAACATTTTCTGTTAGTCAATATTTCAACTGTTGTATAGATGATAAAGATATTTTTTTGAATAAATGTAATGCTTCCTGGGAGAGATTTCAATTGTTTAAACATATTTGTTGCTTACACTCAGTAAAAACAATATTGATCGATCTGTAATTGGAAACAAGTCAGAAAAAATCTTGGAACCAGCAGGATTTGATAAACATATTTGTGGCTTACACCCAGTAAATAAAGATTGACTGATCGATCCCTGAACCTTTAACTGTTTTCTTACAGCATCGGAAGAGCTGAGGATCGATGGAGTCACATTCACAACCTTTGACCTTGGGGGTCATTTACAAGTTAGAAAAGTCTGGAAAAAGTACCTACCCGCAGTTGAAGGAATCGTGTTCCTGGTAGATGCAGCAGAGAGGGAAAGGTTTGCAGAAGCAAAAGCAGAATTAGATGTAAGTCTCCTATGCCCCCCCCCCCCTCTCTCTCTCTCTCTCCCTCTCTCACTCTCTCTCTCTCTCTATATATATAAACATTTCTTTATCTCTCTATCCCTCCCCTTTTTCCCCCCTCCTTCACTTTTATGTTCTCAGATAAGTAGAGGTAGAGTATTTCAGATGATATTCTTTCACTGCCAGAGAGAGAAAGAGAGAGAGAGAAAGAGAAAGAAGTGGGTGAGGGGGGGGGGGAGGGGGGAGGGGTGAGGAAAACTGTGTTACCTACAGTAACCTACCCCCAACTCTACCCCCTATCAAATTTCAACTTGGTTGTAAATTATGAAGGCTATAATATTGTCTGACTTACGATGCCCAGGGCCCGTTGCACAAAACTTACCATTGAAATCTTGATTTTGCTTGGCTGTTGAGCCCTGTTACCATGGTAGTTGCCATTAATGGCAAAGTTACCATCAATGGTCAGTTTTATGCAACGGGGCTCAGGTGTGAAGACACTTTGCAGTTATCACTCCTGTCTGTTGATGGTAATGATTCTTAACCTTTTCCCAAATTACCACTTTTAGTAATCCACCACAGTGCCTTTTACAACCTTGAAAGCATTCATTCTGCTACCCCTGTAATGCGTATTTAGATTTCAATAATAATAATAATAATAATAACAACATTTATAATGCGCACATATCCACCCCAAGAGATGCTCAAGGCATAAGTTGGATTTGTTTCAATAAGTTGGATTTGTTTTGTGGATAACCCTTTCATTTCACAACCTCCTGTTAAGAACCATTGCACAGTGAGAAACGTTAATCTTTATGTGCGATATTTTCTTTTAACAGAGTTTAATGACGGATGAAATGATAGCAAATGCCCCCATCCTTGTACTGGGCAACAAGATTGACGTATCTGGAGCAGCTAGTGAAGAAGAATTAAGATATCAGATGGGCCTCACAGGACAGACAACTGGAAAGGTAAAGCCAATGAAACGTTGCTTGCTTGACGAATCCCTTCTGTGCCCACCAAGTTTTCAAACAGTTGTCACTGATTAACTGTCAAGAACTGAAGTTTTACTGTTATTTTTGCAGTCCAAACTAAGCCTATGCCTACATGTTTTGAAACTAACTGCACTACTTGCAGCTACTTGCGCCCTCTATATAGCCAACAATGCCTTAGTGGTACCTGTTGGTCCCCCATGGTCCCCAAACTCAATATGTTTGTAGGACATGAAATCATGAAATTCTCAATTTTCAAATGAATTTTTAAAACATTAATTATTTTTTTAAATTTCCAAGATATTGTACATCTCAAATGAAATGGCAAATGTAATTTAAACATAAATATGTTTTGTTTCGTTTCTTTTTCTCCACAGGGCAAAGTCCCCCTCAAAGATTTACCAGGCCGTCCTTTGGAGCTCTTTATGTGTAGTGTTCTCAAGAAGCAAGGTTACGGAGAGGGCTTTGTCTGGCTAAGCCAGTACCTCTAAAGAGAACACCCACGCTTGAAATAATGGACAAAAATATATGAGACAAGCGGAGAGAAATCAAAACAATCGGATCATCTCAAGTGTTTCTTGTTGCTCGTTTCATCATCGAGTGTGATTGGGGAGGCTCTGGAGAACACGTGGGCATTACAGACTGATATGGCTGTAACATCGTCATGCTTCCCCCAAGCGAGGGCGCAACACATATATATCAGGCTGCATGTACACACGATCAACCCTGCCTGTACCATCTTCGTGTTTGAGCATGGAGACATGGGCTGCGTGGTTGATTTTTCTACGTTCATAAGAGGAACATTATCACTGCGATCTTCGTCCACACATTTTTTTTTATCATCCAAGAGCAATTAATAGAGAATTGTAACAGTTGAAAATTTCATCTTAAATTTTTCTTACTTTCCTGTTCGAATCAACTTGAGGAGCTTGTAAACCTGATAGGCTTTTTGACAGTGGTCCACAGAATGCTAGAAAACAAATTCATGACATTTTCAACTCTTGATGCCCGGTTTGATAATGAAGCTGCAAGAATTTATGAAATGTTGGACCCTATCTATGTGAACTTCTTTATGGCTTATGCCTTTAATATTCCCCTCCAATGTAGATAAAATAATATGATCGGAGGCATTGATGTCCTGAAAATGATTGGAAATATAAATTCATTTTTTTCCCGTAGTTTCCTTGAAATTCTCATGAGCCCATTTAGTAAAGATATATTATGTAGAGCGCATATGCCATATTGACCCCTATCGGACAGTTTTACGCATATGCAGACTGTTTCTTTCCCCTTAATTGGCATTTGTAACTCAGCCACACTGCTAACCCGACACCAAACCGACCGATTCTTGGCTATTCGAGGTTTGTTAGTTTGTCTGTCAGTCTAGGACCCATTTCACAAAGCCTCTTTTCAATGACAAAAATGAATGACAAATCTGGTGATAACTAATCAGAAGCGAGGATTTCAGTAGCTTATAACAAAAACTGTCTTTTGTCACTGATGACAAGTTTTGTGAAATGGGGCCCATTTCACAAAGCCCTTTTTCAATGACAGATGACAAATCTGCTGATAACCAATCAGAAGCAAGGATTTCAGTAGCTTATAACAAAAACTGTCTTTTGTCACTGATGACAAGTTTTGTGAAATGGGGACCGGGTGTGACTGTTGATTCAGCTCCACATTCCCCTTATTTGATATCTTGATTTACTTCCGTCGAGTTTGAATCTTTGGTACGTAACCAATTTTCCGAACATGCCGTATATTTGGGAGATGTTAAAATTTTAGGACGGGGAACATGACATCGACTTCACAGTATGTCTCATGAGCAAATGTGTGTATTGATATTTTTTATGTACAAACTCATTATAATTTAAGCTTGCATTTATATTTACAAAACAGGATTGTTAATTCTTTATCTGCAGATGTTCATGTATAAGTCATATATGTAAATACGCATACATGTATACACGCCTACAACTATTCTACACAGTGGTTAATTACTTAATTTAAATACTTATTTTGCAAATCTGACCGTATGCCAATTTCTTTGCAACTGCTTCATTTTCTTTGAACACACTACTTGTTTCATACATCAACATGCTTTGACCTTTAAAGAGAAAGAAAGAGTCTTGGGGTGAAAATTGGAGAAGTGAAAATATTGCAAAATATAATGTGTACATGCAATAGCAGTTTCAGGCAAGAAATACGCATATGTCGACAGTTTCACAAAGCTGTCATCTGTCGAGGTTCATGGGACATCCCACAAGTACATGTGTCATAGAATTAGCATGCGTTTTAATTGGATGTCCATGAACTTCGACTTATGCTGGTTTTGAGAAATCGGCCCATGGTCTCATTGGGTGGTCTTTGATAAATAGATGTTCATGATGAAATTATGTATTAAGGGAGACTTACAGAGAAGAAATATTTGTCAAAAAGAGAGGGCAAACACAGTTTTCATCTGCTGTGATTCTCAAAATTTGTAATACCGGTACAAAGTATTGGAATACCGGAAAACAAGGTACGATTCAGATCTGTATAAAATGCATTCATCCATTTCTTAACACAATTGAAGTATCATTTTATTGATAGCTCTTTTTGTTTTGGATTACTCTACAAGTTTTTTGATATTTTCTTTTTGATTTTCTTTTTGAGCTTTATTTATGTATTACTGTTTACTTTTCAGTTCAATTTTTTTTATTTTTACAAACATGGCTCATAGTGGTGGTTGAAACATTCATACTCTTGCAAAAATAACTCCAGAATGTCATGACTATAGTAGTCATAAGAAAAAAATATATATCTTGCAAACAGCTGATCAGCAGGTTTGAATCCTTGTCTGTTTATAATTGCAAGGTAACCTAAGGAATTGGAGCTGCAAGAGGGAACTCCAAATTACCTTACCTGAAATTTAAATTTCAAATTGAAGAAATATGAATATTAATTGGATAATAGTATACCCATGGAAAATGGATATTCATAGCGATTATTCAAATAGTTTTTAGACTATGGGTCATTATTTAAGCTGCCTTTTGGGATTTAGGCCGGTTTGATTCTTTGAAAATTGAAAAATTCCTTTAGAACTGTAATTTAGTAAATAATCCACGCATCCACTTTGTACAATCAAGAATACTTCTCAACAATATGTGAATTTGGTATTCTTTACACTTTACATGAACATAAAGTGTATTGTACGATTCATTTGATCATGATAAATAAATAATGGCACATTTCTTCAATCCAGTCCAGGTGCAATGCACTAGCCCTACTTCTTCCATACCACGGAACTTTTAATTTGTTGTCCTCGTCCGAATACCGCCCAAATATTTAAGTGGTCCAAAAGCAATTATGAGAAGACTAACTAGAGATGGAGCTTGCCATAAAAATGTATCGATAACATGTGTAATGCTTATACATGCATTTTAATTTAGTAGTGAGTTTTAGAGTAGGTATATCTTTATATGTTTTCTTTTTGTTTAATAATTAAGTTTAGAAATATGGCAAGTAATTTTCCCCCAAAAGAACGTAAACACCTGAATCGTATTTAAAGACCGATGTGATATTGCATATCGCAATGTAAACAAAGTTTTCTTTAGCCTTTAATAGCACTATTTGATTTTCTCCCTCAAAATTGTTTTTGTATCTGTCTACGCTTACGCCCCCTCCCCCTTGTTTTTAAATTTATTGTTTCTAAATTTATTGTTTCATCTCGTAAGAAATGTTATTTATCTTGTATTATTATTTTTATATGGAATGTCAAGAGGGTAACCGTAGCGATTTATCTGTAAAATCATTTCATCACCCAGATTATTATTTGAACGACATACCAATAAAACAAATATTTGATAATGAATACCAAGTTTACTTGTACAAGTCATTCTGTTTTGAAGTCCGTAGAAACTGAAACACATCATATAGCAGGGTTTTGCTGGGTGGGAGGGGCTGGTTGGCAATTTCAAAAAGTTGCTGATTTTATCTCATACATATATTTTTAATGAATGAAAATTTTTAAACTTGGTTAGATCTCTCTTCTTCCTGCCCCCACCTCCCCCCCCCCCTCCTTCTTTAGGAAATTATGGGGGGGGGGGCTGTGTCTTTTCAATTTTGGATTGAGTAACCCTTTTCATCATTTTGGAATGCAGATTTGAGGACAAAATACATATTCTTATTAGTATTATTACAGGTGGGGATAGGCCAAGGCAGAGAGAGGGGAGGGAATGAGAGAAGAGAGAAAGAAAGAGGGTGTTTTACTGTTTAAATTGTAGTTAACTATATTATTCATACCCTTATCAAATTGATCTTTCCTGATTTAGGTTTCTTGAGAATATAACGTATTAGAGCTTCAAAAGTATTGAAAAAAAGGCGTCAATTCAACCAGTCCGCCTTTTATTATCGAGTTATGAAAAACCACAATTCAAGGGGTAAGAATGTTGTGGTTAACTGTAATGATATTAGAAGTTCATAATACAGTCGAACCTCTCTATAGTGACCACCAAAGGGAAACACAAAGAGTGGTCTTTGTGGACAGGTTCCTTTAGTTCATGTTTCAATGAGAAACCATTTTCAAGGGAAACTGAAAATGTGGTCCTTGTAGACAGGTGGTCACTAAAGCAGGTTTGAATGTAAATTAATTACAGTTATTAAATACGTATTGATTTTAATTTTATATGAAAGCTATGTTCAATTTGTGGACAATTTCAGCATTTATCTGCACATTAATGTGGGTATTTTTAATGACAATTAATTAACAATAACAACAAAATACAAACAAACAAAATGAATTTTATATCAAATTATATTTACATCTATCACATGAGCTGTTTTTATTGCAATGCATCAAAAGGCTCACTGTATTTAAAGAGAAACTTGGCAAACCGAAAATGAACTTACACAAGTATCAATTTTGAACAAAGTAGCTAATACTGAGAATGAAAAGCATTCCTATTGATACACCTAATACATTTATTACCATATCTAAATGCTCTACAATTTATATCTAAACATACAAAAATCTACTGTTTCCCTTTAAGTACATGTATTTGATGTGCTTCCTAGCTTGTAAAAACATCAGATGTCCAATTGAAAGTTTAAACATCTGTAATTTCATTTCAAATACAAGTAGAATACAACTTACCAGTACAAAATAGCTTTAGACAATTAAAAAATAAAGATGAAAAAAAAGTTCATTTACAGCATCATACATTATATACAGGGTTAAACAACCATAATGTAATCTTTAGGGTTTTACTGTATGTAAGAAGAAGCAAGTCTTAAGATTGTGAATACACTCAATTTGTTTATGACCAATATGTGCACACACATCGTTGTCCTACAAAATAAAAAAACAAAACAAAAATTCACCTTCGGAATAAGAATTCATTGTGGGTAATTAGTAATTACATTTAATACAACCTTGGCCTACTTGCCCTGTGAGATACATCACTCAGGAAATTCTGATATTTTCTGTTCATACATGTTTTTTTGCGAGACCCATAATTACGTTGGTGCATTTGCTCCACAATTTACTACGTGGTAGATGTAGCGTTAGGGTAAGCATTGCTATTTAGTTTTAGAAAAGGAGTAGTGGTAGGATTAGGATTGAATCTAGTGTTGGTTCTAATATTGAAGTACCGGTAATGAATTTGGGTATTACTGAATGTTGATCATGGAGCAAATTGTCACCAGAGCATCATGTGTCATGCAATAATTTTGATACCTGTGCGTTGAACTCTAGAGCATGCACATTGTATTCACACTACATTTCTATGTACTCCTTAAACAAATTTACAGTAGGCTTGCGGTGCACCATGTGAGAGAGAGGGAGGATTGAGGAGTCCTGACTGAAAGGACTCTCAGTAATCTTTAGATAATCAACAGTCTTTTGCAAGACTACACCAACAGTCCTTTTCAGGTCTACACACCCTCGAGAAAGATTACCGAGAGTCCTTTTCAGGACTCCTCAATCCTCCCTCTCTCTCACATGGTCCACCCGCAAGCCTACTGTATATCTACATCACCATGCAAGCCGATACTTACAAGCAGCATGTAAACAAATTTGTTTCTAAAAACTTAAATTAGAGTAGTAAACACATCACTTCAATGCCAGTTAACTTGCAAAACATAAACATTGTATTCTTAAAAGTATTGTTGGGTATTTAAAGTAAGTTACACTTTGATAGATTATTCACAGTTTATGATTGTAATAATGATAATAATCGCATGGCATGTGAGATGCCACACTGTGATATTTAGGTAACATTTTAAGTTTCATAACCATATTGTTTTTGAGTTCATTTAAAAAAGGGACTAAACATGGAAAACATATATCAAGCAACAGTGACATAGACTGTTTTATCATGTTTACATGATATACGGTAGACGAATATTAACATGATGTGATAATTGTACCAGTAGGAATCGCCCTGATGTCGATGACAATGTTGAGAAGATGATCAGGATGATAATCATGACACCAATGATAGCAAGCTGATGATGATAATGATGATGATGATGATGATGATGATGATGATGGTGGTGGTGGTGGTGGTGGTCTTTGTTCGTGATGTTGTTGTTGTTGGTGATGATGTTAACTCTTATCGTGCCATAATGAATACAGCCCAGAGCCACAGGGCTAATCCCCATTGTGCCAAGTCACAAATCCCCCCTGTGCCAAGTTTATTTTGAGATAATCTGATGGTGCGATCTATAGCGCGTGGGAAGCACTCCGCACAGTACAACGGGCATGAACAATAACTGCTATTACGAATGCGAGCAAACATTTATGAAGCACTGAAGCGGTAGCTCGCTCGCGTAAATAAAGCAGCCAATCGATATCGCGCTCTCATGTACAAAGCACTTTAACGGATAGTGTGCATGCATCCTTATGGCAGGATATGAGTTAATCATGATAGAACAGATGGCATGATGATGGTGGTGGTATTGTTTTTTGTGATGTTTTTGTTGATGATGATGATGGTGAGGACAATGTTTTCACAAATTCCTTTGCGATGGAGATTTATATTTCATGCCGATGTAGTCAAAGACATCCTCCTCTGATGTCACTGGTAATGGTTCTCCAGCAATACCTAAGGTAAACATGAAGAGGAAAGAATTGAATCATTTGTAAAAGAAAACAGTGAATAAACATTCTACAATGCATTGTCAATTAAAAAATTTCAATGAACATCTTTAGTTTGATCAGTCTTATTCATTAATGAATTACCATGACCCCATTTCACAAAACATGTCATCAGTGACAAAGGACAAGTTTTGTTATAAGCTACTGAAATCCTTGCTTCTGATTGGTTATCAGCAGATTTGTCATTTGCCATTGAAAATTAAAAGGCTTTGTGAAATTGGTCCCAGGTATACATAATTCATGGCATTCCAAATAAAACAAAGGTTCCAATTTATAGATTTCAATGAATATCTCTAGTTAGAATTGTAATGTTTATTTCAATTTTAATAAGAATTCATCACAAATGTGACACTGCATCTTGAAATCACAGGCAGTGCACCTCAAAACATAAAGGGGTGTGAATGTCAACTAGATATGCTCCAAGACCTTACAGTAGAGACTATAACCCTATAAAACACTTTTGTGTTGAGAGTCTGAAAGTAGAATTGTCCAAACACCTTTTAAGAAATAGAATAAGAGAGAAACACATTAGGCAACCTGTATTTTATAGAATGAAAATGGAAGAAAGTAAAGCTATCTATACTTAAAAAGAGCTATAATGATCAACCCTTTTGATTATCGGCATTAAGGGAAAGACAATAAAATTCCTAGTTGTAGTGTATTTAGTGAGAAAGCTAGGACATGTGCATGCTTTAAAGAGAAGGTTGAGTTCTGGGAAAAGGTGAAAAATAAAATGTGAGCGTTTTTGTTGATATTATGCAAGTGTGGAAGAACTTCAGAGAAAAATGTTCCCTGAAAAGCATGGCTCTTCAAATGCTTTCATATTCTAAATATGACATGTAACAGCTTAAAAATGTGGGCCTCATTTTCATGCCACATGTTTGTGCAGTCTCATATACATCTTTCTGTGTACAGTGCTTGTTACTTTACCAAGATTAAATTTCTTAATCATTTTAATGATTCCCGAACTTTGCAGTTACTTTCACATTGCAGTCGCATGACCAGAACTGAACTATATCTTTAAAGGTCAATTAGTATCATGATGGCTATAAATTGTTCCCTCCCACGTACAAAGGAAACGATTTCAGAGGCTAGGACTATAGCAAGTAGAATAGTTCTGTCACTGAAGGTGGCATGTATAGTGATGGAACTATTCTACTAGCTATGGTCCTAGCCGCTGAAAATGAAAGATGGTTAATATATTGGCACCCACCTGTACTCCCCATAGGCCTTATGGTGTATTCATTGATCGTAAAGCCTTCTTCTAAGGCCTTGGCTCTCATATCCTTGTTGAACATATCACTGCCGGTGAAATAGAGAGTTCCACAGTGGTACTGATCATGGGGTATCAGACGGATATCAAGACGACGGAAGTAAATCTCTTCGCCCTCCTTGGCATCTTTCTCTGGGAGGCGGATGATGCCCTGTGAAGAAAGAAATTTGAGTGTTTGCATTTTCAGCAACATTAGAATCATCATCATCATCATCTTCATTAGCAGGATTATCAAAATGATGATGATGATCATCATCATCAGTATCATTAACATTGGCATTATTACCACCATCATCAGTTGATCGGTCATCACCAGACCACCATCATCATAAATTACCGGTAATCATTATCATCATCATCATGATACCCTGTGAAGAAAGAAATTTGTGTGGTTGAATTTTAAGCAGCATTAGAATTATCATCACCGCCAACAACACAAACATTATAATTATCAGCATCATCATCATCATCGTTAGCAGTATTATGAAAATGATGATAATCATCATCATCGTCATTAACTTTGGCATTTTTACCATCATCATCAGTCAATCAGTCGTCACCACCATCATCATAAATTAATCATTATCATCGTCACAGTTATCATCATCATCATCAATATCATCACCATCATCATATCATCATTATTAATCTTGCTATTACCATCATCATTAGTATAATTTATCATCATATCCTCAGCACCAATGTCATTACTATCTCATAACACTTACCGGTGATGAAATCAGTAATAACAATGTAATGGTGATCACCTTCAATATTGTAACTGTACATGTAAGTAATATCACGATAAACATTTACATCATATTAATGTACGTACCGGTAATAAGCAAAACAAACAGGAACTCATCACAAAATGGCTTTGGTTACCAAGGGAAATTATGAAGGGACTTCTCTCTAACAATTTCAAATGAAATTAGAAGTAAATTCTAAAGCATGGACCTGGCAGGCTGCAAAACAATAATTCAGGAAAATAATATAAGAGAGAGCTAATATCAGTCAGATGTAAAAAATGGCATTCTTACCATAAATTTGGTGTCTCCTTGTGAGATGGTGTCTGTGACCAGCTTGCTATCTATCATTCTCTTCACCACACTCACCAACAGCTCAGGCTGTTAAAAAACACAGGACAATAATAATAATAATAATAATAATTATAATAATAATCTTTTAAAGTCCACTCCAAATTGTATTAAACCGAAAATGGAAATTCTTTTAGCCCAAATGATCGTGAGCCCGACAGCCACTGACCAGCGCCAGCTATACATGTATCATATATATCATAATTAGACTCTTACCGAACTAGAGTAAACAAGATAACAAGTCAGAAATATGTTGACCCATGGTAAAAATGTAAACGAAAAAGACAAAAATCAATGACAGATAAATTAACAATAAACCAAACTTGTAATGTCTCAAAATGTGTGCTTAACTCTGGCATCAAAGTAAAAATGTAGGCAGGGCTTACATAAATCCAAGGCCACCAAGGCCATGGCCGTGGATGCCCTCATGATTGGCCTCAATGCCCCTCTCATTGGCCCATTGGGCTTTAGAAGCCCCCCCTGCACTGAAATTTTGTGACTTTTTTCTTTCGAGTCTGCGCATTTTTTGAAAGAAATTTTTTGAAAATCGGACCTACCATTACAAAGTCACATGGCCTTTTGTCTTTGCATGTCAGCCCGAAAATCGCTGTATATAATGTAATGTAATAATGTAATTTATTTTTAAATGAAAAAAAAAAGAGGAATAAGATGGTAGGTCTTAGTTTCGAAGATTTGTTTAAATTTCTATTTCCTTTGAAATAACCGGGTCTGGAGGAAAGACTACGCTCTATACCCATGTTTTCTCACAGGAATGAGATGGTGAGGTCTTAGTTTGAAGATTTTTTTTTTTTAAATAACCGAGTCTGAAGTAAAGACTATGCTCTAATCCCATGCTTTATTACCGGGTCTTAATTTGGAAGATGGAGGGGTCTTAGTTTAAAAGGTTTTTGTTTTTGTTTTGTTTTGTTTTGTTTTTTGTTTGTTTTTTAACTTTTGAATAACCGGGTCTGGAGGAAAGACTATGCTCAATACTCATGTTCTTCCACAGGAATAAGATGATGGGGTCTTAGTGTTGAAGATTTTTAAAAAGTTTTGAAATAACCGGGTCTGGAAGAAAAACTACGCTCTAAACCCATGCTTTATTACCGGGTCTTAGTTTGGAAGATGGTGGGGTCTTAGTTTAAAAGTTTTTTGTTTGTTTTTTTTAACTTTTGAATAACCGGGTCTGGAGGAAAGACTACGCTCGATTCTCATGTCATAATTGAATGACACACGCCCTTAAAACTAAAACAACAACAACAACAACAAGTTATTCCCAAGGAAAAGGATTATGGGGTCTTAATTTGAAGATTTTTTTAATTTTTGAAATAACCGGGTCTGGAGTAAAGACTACGCGCTATACCCATGCTTTATTACAGGGTTTTAGGTTTGAACAAATTCGACAAAATATCCCTTCAAATTTATTACATTTGTGGGTAAAGTCATTATTACATTTGTGGGTGATTCAAAATTATTACATTTGTGGGTGAAGTGTTATTACATTTGTGGGTGTTATTACATTTGTGGGTAAGGTGTTATTACATTTGTGGGAGTTATTACATTTGTGGGAGTTATTACATTTGTGGGCGTTATTACATTTGTGGGTGTAACAGGGGGGGGGGGCGAGGGGAAGGGGTGCGACTGTAAATCACCTTTTTCTTATCCTTGGACGTGTAGGATGGATGCGTTAGGAGGACGTCCATGTCACCACTTGAGGCAGCCCCTCTCCTATAGCTCCCGCATACAGTAGCTACGTAATCTTCGTCTTCCGCTGCTACCTGGGATTTGAGGATACCTTCAAGTCTTGTCACCTCTTCCCGCGGTATCCTCCTCTCAAAGTCTTCAAAATGCCTGAGGAAAAAAGGGAATTAAAGGAGGAAACAAAAATTGTACAACTAATATATGACCCGGGCCCCCGCCTTATAAAGAGTTACGATTGATCCAAATCAATTGTAAGTCATCCAATCAATCTCAAGTTTTCAGTCTCCTATCTCTTATGTTCATATAGTCGCGATTGATATCAATCACAAATAAGTTGTGCTTGATATCAACTCTTTATAAGAGAGGGCCTGGTGACAACTGCTTCATAGTCAATTTTTTACGCAACTCAAATTCCTTGCTCAAACTAAACCTTGATGAAATAGTTAACTTAAAACTGGCCGTAAACCTTTTGTTTTGCACAATCCAAAGCCTGAAAGAGCTTGAAATAGCATTTCCCCGGTCTGAAATGATGAAGAAATGCACCAAGCCTGAAAACCTACATCCCTGATAGTAGAAATTTGGTTGTTGTTGGTGTTGTTAATTCTTACCGTGTTAACTTTGATATCACTTCTACTTGGTCTGGGCCCTGTTCCATAAAACTTTTTATCAATAACAAGTTACAATAGCTGTTAAAAGCTACTGAAATCATTACATTTGATTGGTTGAGGGCAAACTTGACACAAAATTTTAGCATTTGTTTAATGTTACTGATAAAAGTTTTATGAAAAAGACTCCCAGAGGTTCTTTTCTTCTGAATCGCATTTCACTTTTTAAACTTTTATTCCTTAATAAATAATCTTAAAATAACTTCATTTTAGATTGAGAAAAAAGTATGACAGGAATCCACTTTCTAACTGATTGCAAAATGACTGTCATCTTAACTTACCGAAGCCCGATTTTTTGATGATGATTGAGTTTATCTGTGTTCTTTCTCAGATCTGTGAAATGAAAAAAAAATGAAAAAATGAATAACTAAATAAAATAAAATAAAAATAAATACATATAAATATAAGACAGCTCTTTCTTAATAATATGTAATAATGTGTAATCTCAAGTATATGACTTCTGGCAGGTAGAATTGAAATCATAAACTCTAATCGATCTATCAGCCATATGATGTAATGTAAAATAAGAAGAGATTTAAAATCATCAAGTAAATATACTGCTTATGGCCCATCAATGGCAGCAAAGCACTGTCAGAATATACCAACTAATTGAATTTAGATAACATTTAAAAGTTCATTGATTAATAAGCTGAAAATCCAGGAAATCTTTCTCTGCATTCTCAACCTCTATGATCAAGTAGTGGATAATTCAAAGAATGCGTACTCTCATTTCAGAACTTATTTCATGATAAACGGAAAACACTTAAAAAGTAAACGGAACCCTGAGAAGACGATTAAAAATGGCTCAAGTCCAAGACCAAACTGCATTTTACACATTCACAATGTTGGCAAAGCTATAGCTGTAAAACCCGCTCGCTTAAAAACAAAAACATTGGAATTCATGGTAGAGAGACAACATCAGACTTCTAGCAATCAAGAAATTGGGACATGGCCATCTGATTGCTTTAAATGATAATAATAGGCGCGTCTTCATCACCTCGAGATTGCCAAATAGCCCGCTATTTTTGATTTGGGAAATAATCCCGAAGTTACAAATCGCCTCTTCATCAGCTCGAGATTCGACCTCGAAATTTGAAACTCGACCTTGAGAAATTAGCTCAAGATATTTTGCTCAGCATTCGCGCATAGTGCAAGTCTTCGGTCTGGTGAAGACGCACCGGACAAATAGCTGGATATTTTGCAAACTATCCCAAGATATCTTGGGATGACAATCCCGACCAAATATCCAGTTATTGCAACTTCGGGCTGATGAAGACGCAAATTAGCTGGATAGTTTGCGATCAGGATAGTTCAAATAGCGGGATATTTGGCAATCTCGAGATAGTGAAGACAGGCCCAATGACAGAAAACTTACCATCAATAGACATAACACCATCATCCATGACTAGTTTCCTAGCAGCAACAGGCCTGTAATTGAAGTTGTGGTATTTTATAAATAAATAATTTACATTTAAGCTCCACTTCACTAATACAATATCTGACAATGGAATAGGTGAAGAACAAAAAATGCTACATGTAACTCACTGAACGAATTTGTTTTCCTTCAATAGGTCTTTAAAGATAAAGTTGAGTTCTGGTCATCCGATTGCATTGTGAAAGAAACGTTGTGGAATCGATCAGAAAAGGTTGATCATCAAGCATATAAGTATTGGTGTGTACTGCAAGGTTCTGGAATCATCAAAATGGTAAGATATTTGGCCCAGTCTCGGTAAAGTTACAAGCACTGTACACAGAAAGATGTATATGGGGCTACATGCACACATGGCATAAAAGTCTGTCCCGATTTTGATGATGTTACATGCTATATTTAGAATATTAAGGCATTTGAAGAGCCATGCTTTTCAGGCAACATTTTTTATTTGATGTTCTTCCACACTTACATAATACAATGATAACGCTCACAATTAATTGTTCATCTCTTCCCAGAACTCAACCTTCTCTTTAAATACAGTAGAAGTTAATTTGACACTTACACTGTGTCTTGATTCAAGCCTAACTTAAGACTTTGTCAAATTAGGCTTCAATAACTCATCTGTTCGGGGCCAGAAGGGCATAAACTAATTCTGGCTCTGGACAGATCAACGGTTGCCTAAATGTGCCTACAGCATGGATGTCTTAAACTCTTAAATTCCATACATGTATGATTGACAGAACAAGACAGACAGAACAAGATGACAATTTCAAACTCTTGGGATTCTCTCCACTGAGAATAACAATAATAATACAATGGGTTTATGTAGCACTTAATACATCAACAATGTCTATAAGCGCTTTAACACTGATATATTTTATTACCCTAGACATCAGATTCATGCTTGCCCGCATACAATGTATGCACATTCTCCCGTCCCTGGAGAGCATTCCAGCCAGGCATCATTTAACAGACGCTCACAATGCTGAGCAGACTACAATGACTTTTGCATCCTGCCAGGTACCCATTCAACACCTGGGCTGAGAGTGGCAAATGTGGATTGATGTCTTACCAAAAGATGTTAGTGCCAGGCTGGATTCAAACCCTCAACCCTTGGATTGAGAGTCAAGTGAATGAACCACTATACCACGACATCTCCACAAGGTAGAAGGGAGAAAATCCCCCTCCCCCTCACTGTAGACAAATTCTAACTTAAATCAACTTGGAAGCTAGACTAGTGCGCTTTCACAAAGACGACGGGAGAATTCACTCAACCGAGATCAATTAACGTATGCAGTTCGGATTCTGTCTATTGAAATACTATTATTCTTAGCAGGTGAATGAAATGATTTGTATTGAGACACTTCACAAAGACTTGTGCATTAAATTTGGTTACATTACGAAAATGGCCCATTGTACGGCGATACAGCTCTTCCGTCGTGTTTAGGGAACGAACGCTATTATGGCCGAGAACGGTTGTGAAATTCAACATGATGGAGAAAATTCTGGTTCGCGCATGCTCAGATTGATTGTTTCGCTCGGTTACCCTCGTCTTAATCTTCCGTCGTGTTTGCGAAAGCGCTCTATATACAGGTTACAAATGAAGACGGGAGCATAGTATAGGACAATGTCGGATGAGTGAATTCTCCCGTCATCTTTGCTTCCGTCGTCTTTGCGAAAGCGCTCTACTGTCTCTTACCCAATTCCTGATACTCTGGTGAGCAGGTTGATGGCTTCACTCTTGTCATCTTTGCGGATTTTCTCAAGTTTCTCGAGCTTTCCTGTAGCTATGACCTCGTCAATCTTTTTGGCGATCTGAACACCAATGCCATCCTTTAAGGGTTCCGTAGTTAAAAACAAAATAAATAATTTACAAATGTCAAGATTTGGTGAGTTCTTTTAGAACTTTTTGAGTAAATTTGAATTGCAGCACTGACATGGTTTAGTTTATCACTTGTCTGGAAAAAGTGTCTCATTAATAAGAATATGTGGGCAAAGATTTATTTAAAAAATATATACATTCTTGCCAGGTTTTTAAAATCATTCAGTTACATTTGCTACCTACAGATTGCTCTGAGAAGATTGTTTGAATTCCTTGTATGTATGGCTGTCTTAACAAGCTTTTCCTGTCATAACAATTCAACAATAATAACACAGGAAATACATGGACATGTACGTGAGTGTCTTCATATGAAAATAAAGATAACTGGCAAGAAGGAAATAAAAAAAGACGAGACAATGGGCTAATCCTTGAATGATAAGATCATATTAAGAGAAATATATTTTTTTAAAATTACAATTACTGTTTTCTATAAGTATTTAATTACCAATCTTTTGGCTTCGTCTCCGCTCTTGATCTTTGTTGGGTATTTGGCTAAGACGCTGGCAGCCTTGCGATATGCATTGTGTTTATGCATTGCTCGATTGACATTCTTCTCGTAGTTCGCGAGCTCTGAAATGCAACAGGAGAAAAAACGAAAGAAGAAATGAAAGACATAAATGCTAATTGTGGCCACATCACATCCATGAAATCAGGTATTTTCACCACAAATGTAGATCGAGCTCTGTCCCGGAATGCTACCATGAAAAAAGAGCATTCCCCTGTGCCTGACTGTTATTAAAATTGGGTGGAATGTAGATCTACTACATTAATTTTTACAAAGGGGACATAGATAATTCTACAAGGTCTAGATACTGTCTAGTATCTTTAGGTCATTTTCCATCTCCTCCTTAATTATTCTTCCCCCCTCCTCCTCCTCCTCCTTCTCCTTCTCCTTCTCCTTCTCCTCCTTCTTCTTCTTCTCCTCCTCCTTCTCCTCCTCCTCCTCCTCCTTTTCCTTCTTCTTCTTCTTCTTCTTCTTCTTCTTCTTCTTCTTCTTCTTCTTCTTCTTCTTCTTCTTCTTCTTCTTCTTCTTCTTCTTCTTCTTCTTCTTCTTCTTCTTCTTCTTCTTCTTCTTCTTCTTCTTCTTCTTCTTCTTCTTCTTCTTCTTCTTCTTCTTCTTCTTCTTCTTCTTCTTCTTCTCCTCCTCCTCTTCAGCCATTTTTAGGGCAATTAGGCTTTGGTTTTAGTTTTTTACTTTCTTGGCACATACCAAATTCCGCCATTTATCCAGGCCATATGATTATCCGGCATGATTATCTATAAAATAATGTGTCAACTTACCGACCAGAAAGTCCACGAACTCTTGGTTGGGATTGTTGCTATCTGGTGCTTTCCTCTTGCTCATTTTGAATTCCTGTTCAAAATTACTAGCCCTAAATTACCAGATGCACATACACAGACAAATAACTAGTAAGCAGATCAGCTATATAGAGTCTAACGTTAGGCCTAGATTCTTTTTGTTACGAAGTTGCAAGCTACAAATTACAACGCCAACGGACCACTGACACGGGCACTGAGATTTGCACAGCGGATACGGATGATGCTACAAATGCAATAATAACGATATGCAAAATGCGTATGCAAACAAAAGGAAAAGGGGAACATGTTTCAACGTGTGTAGTATGGAACGCCAAACGGGTCTTGCGCAACTCCCTACCAAAATACACTGCACATTATTCAGATATCAGAAATTGGAAAATGAAGTGATTGGACCGGGGATTGGACGTAAAAACGAAGGTGAAATTAACCAGTGGCGGATCCAGGGGGGGGGGGGCCGAAACGGCCGCGGCCCCCCCTATTGGCGGCGCAAAAAAAAGGAAGAAAAAAAAAGAGGAAGAAAAGAAGAGAAAAAAAGAAAGGAGAAGAAGAGAAAAAAAAGGAGAAGAGAAAAGAAAGGAGAAGAGATAGGAAAAAAGAAGAGAAAAAAAAAGAGAAGAAAAAAGATAACGAAATTATTGAGTAGAGGGGGGCCGGGCCGGGCCGCATAAAATCTCGAGCCGCGGATTCAAAGTTAAACGTTAAGAACAGCCCCTGCGCTACAAAGGTCATCACTCTTTAGTGAGAAATTTGAAAAGGGCAAAATATTTTGGGTGTCTTTTAAATAGAAGTTATATACTCAACAGTCAAATTTTAAATTAACGGTAGGGCCGCTTCACAACTCTTATTTTGCCCTTCATTTGGATTCAGCTCATACAAACTCGCTTGTGCTTGTATTTGAACTCATGTTGGTAGTAATCATGGACAAGCTAGGGCGGCACTCCTGGGCCCGATAGGGGGACAGTACGTCCCCCAGGAAATTTAGAAATATAGCTAGATCGAAATATAGCGGAAAGAACGTATATATTAGGATCAGGGATTTTCTAGAATGCATAATTTCAGCATTCATCATTACAAAATCTCGCTTGGTCGCTACGCCCAGGCCCTCGCCCGATAACACAAATTAGCTATAACGCTCCCGCCCAGGACCAAAATCCAATTGAAACCAGTTGAAATCTCCAACTGGTTTCAATTGGTTTCAACTGGTTTCAATTGGTTTCAATTGGTTTCAATTGGAATATAAAATTTCCAGTTGAAACCAATTGCCGAACTGGAAAATATTGTTATGGGTACTCATTTCCAGTTCAAACCAATAAGAAGTGCAACTGGAACCAGTAAGGTAATTTTTCCAGTTACTCAATTGGTTCCAGTTAGAAGTCATTTCCAGTTACCCAACTGGTTCCAGTTAGAAGTTCAACTGGAAACAGTAAGATGATTTTCCTGTTACTCAATTGGTTCCAGTTAGAATTCATTTCCAGTTACCCAACTGGTTCCAGTTAGCATTCATTTCCAGTTACCCAACTGGTTCCAGTTAGAATTCATTTCCAATTACCCAATTGGTTCCATGCAGTTAGAAGTCATTTCCAGTTACCCAACTGGTTCCAGTTAGCATTCATTTCCAGTTAGAAGTCATTTCCAGTTACCCAACTGGTTCCAGTTAGAATTCATTTCCAGTAACCCAACTGGTTCCAGTTAAAATTCATTTCCAGTTACCCAACTGGTTCCAGTTAGCATTCATTTCCAGTAAGAAGTCATTTCCAGTTACCCAACTGGTTCCAGTTAGAAGTCATTTCCAGTTACCCAACTGGTTCCAGTTAGCATTCATTTCCAGTAAGAAGTTATTTCCAGTTACTAGGTTACCCAACTGGTTCCAGTTAGAAGTCATTTCCAGTTACCCAACTGGTTCCAGTTAGAATTTATTTCCAGTTACCCAACTGGTTCCAGTTAGCATTCATTTCCAGTTAGAAGTAATTTCCAGTTACCCAACTGGTTCCAGTTAGAATTCATTTCCAGTTACCCAATTGGTTCCAGTTAGCATTCATTTCCAATTAGAAGTAATTTCCAGTTACCCAACTGGTTCCAGTTAGAATTCATTTCCAGTTACACAATTGGTTCCAATTGGAAATATTTCCAGTTACCCAACTGGATCCAATTGAAACCAGTTAATTTGCATATTATCTGCTTGTGTGCAGATCAATGTTTTATGTAATTTATTTTGATTTACAATGTACTTATTAATTAATTTTCATTTGCAAGTAATGCATTAGTTTTAGATAAATATAAAGATTAAATAGCAATGATAAGCATGTTCATTAGTAACATATTTTTGTAATTACACAGATTAAAAGTTGATTAGTAAAACACTAACCATGTACAAAATACATCAAATACAAACATATATAATGGCAATGCCTTCCTTGTTAGGTATATTATATGGTCTGCATATTATAATGCCCTTTACATTGTACTTAATGTAGACACATATAACAATGCTTCTGTGTTGACATGAGCGATAATTAGTGCAAGAGCTAATTAACTTATAACTAATTAAGTTTATGCCAACTGTAAGTTTCAAATGGATCCAATTGAAACCAATTGAAACCAGTTGAAACCAATTGAAACCAGTTGAAACCAATTGAAACCAATTTAAGCCAACTGGTTTCAATAGGGAAATTGGAACAACTGGTTCCAGTTGAAACCAATTAGGCAACTGGAACCAGTTGGCAATTGGTTTCAACTGGTTTCAATTGGAACCAGTTGGCAACTGGTTTCAATTGGAACCAGTTGTTCCAATTTCCCTATTGAAACCAGTTGGCAACTGGTTTCAATTGGTTTTGCTCCAATTGGTTTCAACTGGATTTTGGTCCTGGGCGGTCGTGATTTATCCATGGTTGGTGTAATAGATCTTGTTTCCATTTCATTTTTGCTAACCTAATTGTGTGCCATCACAATCATGATTGTTTCATTTTCCCTTTACAGCAGGCGCGTAGCCAGGGGCGGTAGGGGCAGTAAGATGACATAAGGACGAAAAAGGAGCAGACAAAGAAACATTTTTGAAAATTCTGACAAGTCGAGAACGGTACAACGAATCGTCTTCTTTCTCTCATAATTTAATGAAATGTCAAAGCTTCCGCACATCGCTCGGGCCGGGAAAATCTGAATTCAGACAAGGATTTAGAGTCGAGAATGGAACAACGAATCATCTTCTTTCTCTAATAATTTAATAAACGGTCAAAGATTACGCGCTACGCACGGGCAGGGGAAAGCTTAATTTAGACAAAGAGTCGAGAATGGTACAAAGAATCGTCTCCTTTCCCTTATAATTTAATGAAACGTCAAAGCTTCCGCGCTTCGCGCGGGAGGGGGAGGGGAAAAAACTGAATTCAGACAAGGATTTAGAGTCGAGAATGGAACAACGAATCATCTTCTTTCTCTAATAATTCAATGAAACGTCAAAGTTTCCGCACATCGCTCGGGAGGGGGGCAACTGAATTCAGACAAGGATTGGGCGTCGAGAATGGTAAAACGAATCGTCTTCTTTGTCTAATAGTTTAATGAAACGTCAGAAGTTTACGCGCTACGCTCGGGCCGGGAAAAACTGAATTCAGACAAGGATTTAGAGTCGAGAATGGAACAACGAATCATCTTCTTTCTCTAATAATTTAATGAACCGTCAAAGATTACGCGCTACGCGCGGGCAGGGGAAAGCTTAATTTAGACAAAGAGTCGAGAATGGTACAAAGAATCGTCTCCTTTCCCTTATAATTTAATGAAACGTCAAAGCTTCCGCGCTTCTCGCGGGAGGGGGAGGGGAAAAAACTGAATTCAGACAAGGATTTAGAGCCGAGAATGGAACAACGAATAATCTTCTTTCTCTAATAATTTAATGAAACGTCAAAGTTTCCGCGCTTCGCGCGGGAGGGGGAAAACTGAATTTAAACAAGGATTAAGAGACGAGAATAGTACAACGATTCGTCTTCTTCCTCTAATAATTTAATGAACCGTCAAAGCTTACGCGCTTCGCGCCGGAGGGGGAAAACTGAATTCAGACAAGGATTAAGAGTCTAGAACGGTACAACGAATAGTCTTATTTTTTTAATAATGTAATGAAACGTCAAAGCTTCCGCGCTTCGCGCGTAATGGGGGGGGGGGGGGGGGGGCAGCGAGCCCGAATAAGAGTTTTTGATATTTTGTCTCGTTTATTTTGGTGATAAATAACACTTTCACGATATTATGCTCAAATTGTTGCTAGCTCGCTTCGCTCACTAGCCAAATTGTGAAACCAGAAAATTACTTTAGGCAAGAGGCTATAGCCCCCCTCCCCCTCCTCCGATGAAAATGTCAAAAATTGTACCGGTATGGTGCTTCTAATATGACCTTGAAAAAACGGTCTGCGCAATTTTCAAATTTCCGGCCCCCCCTATTGGAAAATCCTGGATCCGCGCCTGAATTAACGTTCTGCAAAAACAACAAAAGGCGTTAACATGTTTGATGTCTTATTGATAACAGCAACAACAATACTGATCGATTATCTCGCATGAAAACAGCCGGAACGGAATCATGACATAATTATGATTAAGAAAAATGAATACTTTTTAAGAGCGCTCCCAGAAAAACACCTTTAATTGATCAAAGTTCTGGCGGCCTGAGTTTGTTTGTTTTTTAAAAAAAAAGGGGGGGGGGGGGTCCTAAAAAAAACACTATTAATTGATGAGTTCTGGAGGCCTAATTTCTTGTTATAGTCAGTCATCATCATCATGGGCTAAAAACAAACAGACAATTTAACAATGCGCATTAGCTATTTTGCTCATGATTGTCATGAGTAATTAAAATACATTCCGTGATTGAGAAGGGAAAAAAATCCTTTTCTTTTCTTTCTTTTTTTTTTCTCCGATGAAACAAAGTCTAACACATCAACACACTAGGAATTGACAGGTCAAGCGTGGTATTTTATTCGTTTTTTATTGTTGTTTTTTTTTCGTTGCAAAAATCCCTAAACGTATGATATCTCAAGTGTGTTGGACAGGAGCGGATCCAGGATTTCTTAGGGGAGGGGGCCCAACTTTTTTTTTTTTTTGCTCCCGAAAATTTGAAAATCGCGCCGGCCGAAAAGTCGCTCAGTGGGGGGGGGGGGGGGGGGGGTGGGTTGGTGTCATACAGAGCACATTTTTTTTTTTGGGGGGGGGGCCCTCAAAAATTTGA